ATAAATGTCACAAGCGTGTGCTCCAGACCGGGAGATAACTTTAAAAATTTTTCCACGCCTGGAAAGTGTTTCAGTTTTCAAGCTCTTGAGGAGGGAGCTGCCAAACACAAAGGTATCAGGGTATGTGGCATCTTTGGAGGTGCTGGTTGCAGGGGAGGTATTCGGTTCTGCAGAAGGTTGTGGGGGAGGAGGGGAGGAGGATGGGGGAGGAGAATGGATAGCAGGAGGGGCTTCTTTAGGTGGGAGCAGACGTCGGAAGGTGACACTGTAACGGACTCCCCTTTCTTTCTGTACATCTTTGTCTCCAGCAAGTATTTCATGGTAAAAAGATTGCTGGAAACCAGGCAACATCGTGAATATGCTCCCGGGAGTAAGAGTAAGGTACTTGACGGATTTCTTTTTGTCAAGGGAAATGTTCATTTTCCGAGTTGCACCAATCGAGAGTGTTGATATTGGTGCACCTGGATCGAGGCCTGATTCATCATCCTTGTGGGGAGGAAGGCAACACACATATGAGCTGTACTTGTTAACTAACATAGAGTTATACTCTGTTCCTAGTGTTAAGTTAACAGTCTTCAGCAGTTTATCCATGATGGTGTTGGGTTGGATAGAGACTGGTGAGAGGGCAGCAGATCTTCGATTGTATGCGTATCGTTGGCTGCCGTACAGGAAGGTATCTGGGCTTAAGTTTGTTCCAGACCTGCTGTAATTGATCTTCTTGACGTGTTCAAGGACTTCCTCAACCAGAGGCTCACTAAGGGGGTCATGTCGAAGATTATAGTGAAGGAGCAGCGGAGATGGAGAAGGTGGGGAAGAGGATGATGGACTCGATGATTCCTGTATTTTGGGTACTGGAGAGGGTGCAGAATCAAGTAGCGTGTTGGTATATTGGAGAAGGTTCTCCAATGTATTCTGCACCTTTCTAAGTTCTTCGTTAGCGAGATTTCCCAGTTGGGGAACTATAAGGTCTTTCAGTTTATCAAGTTCCATTGTAGAAGGAGGACATCTCCAGGGGTCGACAGTCAGCACAAGCACAGCAGCCCAAGGGGTCAGACGGTACACACAGCGGCATGATGTGCCTATCTGAAACGAGAATAAACGGCAGAAAAGGAATGGTAATGAGATATTGAAAAGTTTAGTTTTAAATAAATCATTGCAATTAAGAAGACTCACGATGTAATTGAGTCATTTGGAAAACAATTTCAATAATAACAACATCCGAAAGACTACCATTAGGGCTCAATACAGACAGACACACTCTTACCTAGTCCCAAAGGTTTGGGCCGACACTTCGCAAGAAGTGCCGGATGCATTCCATCCAACTCCCAGACCCACTGAGCAGGTACATCATGTCTCGCCCCAGAGATGAGAGGTTATCAGTACATACTCCCCATACGGGGTGTTACTTAGCACATTCCCTAAACTCAATAAATGTAATAGATTTGTAGTGTTGTAATTAGTTTAATTTAGCTGTTGTTACATGTAGTTTACATTTAGTTTATGACTATTAACAGGCAACAAATCAAATGATACCGTTTGTGTACCATTAAATCGATTTTAAATCTTAATTCCGGGTGCAAGGCCTGTAAGCTAGAGTAAACTTTACTATCTACTGTTACAACAACTGAGACATGACATGTTTACCATGCCATTTTTATTACCAGAGGATCTCAGTTATAGTTTTATAATAGATGGTGCCGTCCAGTACACAGGAGAGCGCACGCCCATAGCAGCAGTGAGCAGCAGTTAGCAGCAGTGAGCAGCAGCAGTTAGCAGCAGTGAGCAGCAGTGAGCAGCAGTGAGCAGCAGTGAGCAGCAGTGAGCAGCAGTGAGCAGCAGTTTTCAGCGGTTGCGCGCGGCGTGCGTTGCGCAGTAAAGACACGCATAAAACTGCTGTTCACTGCTGCTCACTGCTCACTGCTGCTAACTTTTAATGTCTGCCTCAATGTGGCTGCTGAGAGAACAGAAAGCAACAAAGTGGTGTCCCACGGAGCGGTTCTTCAAAGATCTATCAGTCCGCTTGTTGATGATATCACTGTGTTAGATACAGACTATGCAGATGACATGGCTGTACTGGATAACAGCGAGGAAGGTCTTCAAGAAACAACTGACCTTTTGTGTATGTATGGTGCCCAGGGAGGTCTCAGAATCAATGGTAAAAAGACTGAGGCTATGGTCATTGGTAAAGCAACCTCTCAACGGCCATACACGAAAGAAGCCACAGTGAACATCACTGTTGAAGACACGCCAGTGCAGCAAGTTAGTGACTTTACGTACTTAGGTACAATTATTTCCAGCGACGGTACTATCGACCGTGAGCTGTCAGTGAGGATTCAGAAAGCTTCCGGAGCCTTCAATCAACTGAGTAATATATGGAAAAACCGCAACATCCAGTCTTATACAAAGATCAGGATTTATAAGGCAGCGGTTTTGACAATATTGTTATATGGTAGTGAGGTTTAGAACACAACCAAAAAGCAGCTACATCGCTGTTCCATCAGCGTTGCTTGAGGAGAATATACTTAGGATAAGATGGCTCGATCGGGTTAGAAACACTGAAGTGCTGGAGCGTGCAAAGATAAATCCAGTAGAGATGTACATAGGAGCAAACCGCCTGCGTTGGTTTGGCCATGTCACCAGAATGCCAGACACTAGGCTTCCTGAGTACCTGCTTAACTGGACCCCTGCGCATGGGAGGAGATCTAGGGGTCGTCCAAGAAAGAACTGGATGAAATGTTTGCTGGAAGATACTACAGCGTTTACAGGAAACACTGACATAGTCCTAGAAGGAGCGAGTGAGATGGCTAGTGACCGCAAACTCTGGAGGGAGATGATACGTCACAAACGGGAGTTAATTGCATGATAATCGAATGATTGAGGAGACCTAATCAAGTACAAGTAAGTAGTATATATTTGATAACGGGAAAACACTTGAAGTTCGAAAACATGCTCAATATGCCTAAACGTGTGATAGTAAAGAAAAAATGGTTATAAAGCAATGAAAGGCATTAGTTTGGGTGCTAAGAAAAAATGATTATAGTAAGGATTTGATACATGTTTCGTATCCAAATATCAGTGGCACGAAAAGTGGCATGCAACGTATGTCAAGTAAGGATTAATATAGCGCTCGATTTTTAGCGATGAATAAAAAATGATGTGTTTTGTAGACATTTGTATTGTAGGTTTGCAACCTACCAGGACGCGCGCCGAGTTGGACGAGTATCGCCCGTTAATCATTTGTATAGTGTGCACAGCGCGTCTGCGCTGCACCCAAAATATAGTAACATGACAATCATTTACTATATTTTGAACTGAACATTTTTTGATATTTAATCACAAAACAAAGTCACGAGTTGCAAAATATTAACATAATTTATCATTTTTTAGTATGATGCAATATTAATTGACAATTAACGATGTCAATTTGCAATCCTTCGCAGCTCGGCGTGGCCCAGTAGTGCATCTCGCCGATAAGCAATATAAATATTGTTTAACGATAAGCAATCAAGGCCAATCTCTGATATTCTTGTTACCACTTTGCACGTGACGGTAATATGCTGTACTCGTAAAATATTTTTGTTTTAAGACCGTCGACGAGTTTGAGCATATTAACAATGGTCAAGCTTCTACAGTGTATGACAACCTTTATAATGATAAAATTGACCCAACGCGCCCCCGCCCCCCCCCCCCCCCCCCCCTTTTGATTATGGATGATGATTATTGATTAATCACTCTACACTCGACTTTCACGTAACTTTTTCAACCCGTTCTCTAGCTGGCCCTGACCGACTATTTATATTCGAAACCCTAACCTTGGCCTTTTTATTTGATCCCAACCCTAACCCTAATGCCTAACCCAATCCCTAACAGAAACATATGCTGAAACCGGAAACCCTAACCCTAACGAGAAATTCGACCAACTTCCTTATATAATATACGGTCATATCACGTGATCAAGACAGTTTTTCGCCAATATATCTCGCAGGGGAGCATTTTAACCTTATGTCATGGGGGTGATTCTGAATCAGCGTCTCGAAAAATCTCGAAGATCGACTGTTAAGTGATTAAGCACGCTTGTATGATTATATCATTATCATTGACAAATGACAATTGAGTTTATGAATATTATTACTATCAGCCTGGGGTTCCCAGGTAAGAGGAAGAGGAAAAGGAAGAGGAAGAGGAAGAGGAAGAGGAAGAGGAAGAGGAAGAGGAAGAGGAAGAGGAAGAGGAAGAGGAAGAGGAAGAGGAAGAGGAAGAGGAAGAGGAAGAGGAAGAGGAAGAGGAAGAGGAAGAGGAAGAGGAAGAGGAAGAGGAAGAGGAAGAGGAAGAGGAAGAGGAGGAGGAAGAGGAAGAGGAAGAGGAAGAGGAAGAGGAGGAGGAAGAGGAAGAGGAAGAGGAAGAGGAAGAGGAAGAGGAAGAGGAAGAGGAAGAGGAAGAGGAAGAGGAAGAGGAAGAGGAAGAGGAAGAGGAAGAGGAAGAGGAAGAGGAAGAGGAAGAGGAAGAGGAAGAGGAAGAGGAAGAGGAAGAGGAAGAGGAAGAGGAAGAGGAAGAGGAAGAGGAAGAGGAAGAGGAAGAGGAAGAGGAAGAGGAAGAGGAAGAGGAAGAGTTTAATTTTGAGCAAATATCATCCTGATAGAGTGATAGTACTTGTTAGTTGTTGTTAAGATTTATTATGTTATCAATCACAATCGTCAATCAGGCTATTCTTTTGAATATCCAGTATTCAGTATTACAAGCAAATAATAACGGCACATATTACAGATAACTGTTTACATTTTCAAGTATAGTTATACTACGTAGACGTGTCTCGTGATCTGCCACTAGACACAGCAGTGGTGTTGCAGACACGCCAGCTCAAGTAATAAAGTGTTACCATGGGCCGGCACAACACAGCACGTGTGCTAGCAATGACACGTGCCAAAGTACACGTGATGGCACGTGTTCGTAGCACGTGATCTCACATCTTGTTGACAATGCCACCCTACTTGAGAGCCCTCACACTGGCTCAATTGATACTAAAATATTTGCATTATCAAAAGACAGCATCTTGACAAGTAAAATGTCAGTTTTTGTTTGAACTAGTCGTCCGATTTCTGTGATTGCTTTGTATGATCGAGAGTACGATGATCGATACCATGGTTACCGCTGTTCCCGATACCGTATACAAGATACCCCGGGAAGTTATTCTATCGTACAACAGGTGTTTTATTTAAAACACTACTTATCATGCACTTGAATAGAATTGTTCGCTTACATTATTTCATCAAAAGCTCTCCAAGTTTGATTCTGTATTGAAGAAGCTGTCTAGAATTATGCTGAAATGCAGCTATCCAATATTTGGTCATTATGCACGGCCACTATAGTCCCCTTAAAGTTATTGGAAGTAGTGGTATTTTATTTTGACGTTTTTGTTTTCTTCAGCAAAAAAAGAGTAGGGAACTATCTGATCGGGAAGAGTATTGGAGAAGGGGCGTTCGCCAAAGTCAAGGAAGGGCTTCACGTTATAACGGGAGAAAAGGTAATTTTTATTTCGATAAGAATATAATTAATATCTACTCACTGTCCGATGCTAATGTCGGTTGTTCCAAATATACAACTGTAAACTGTAGTCGTTCAATGCTACTGCCAAACGCAAGTTGCTCAATGCTACTGCTGTTCAAAACGATGATCATTTGTGTAATGCAGCTGCTAGGTGTTGAATACAACTAGGTGTTTTTTAACCATCGCACAAGTTGTTGAACCCATGACGTAAGTATGTATAATTGTTCAATACAACTGCTTCCCGATCTGTTTAGTTGTTAGTTGATCATTTGATCGGCAATCATTTGTTTGATGAAACCGCCAGTTTTTCAAAGAAAATCCTGTTCACTTGTATCGTTTTAATTTATTGCAACTATTATTAACTGATGCAACTATCAGTTTACCCCTCATCAAAGTGTAAGACGTTAAATGTGTTCAAATATCCAGGTAGCGATAAAAATTATCGACAAGACGAAAGCTAAACAAGACAGCTACCTGTGGAAAAACTTGAAGAGAGAAGTAAAACTACTGCAATGCATGAGGCACCCTAATGTGGTAAGAATCACTACAAAATAGCTCTTCTTAAGCACGCCTGTCATAATTGGTTTACAAAACGCACTGCATCCAAGTTCGGAAAAAGCAGTCTAAAAACCCAGTCATTATTTTAATCGTTATCAGAATAAAATCACGTTTTACCCCTGCAATTTCTACAGGTGAGTCTGTACGAGAGTCTCGAAACAGAGATTGCTTATTATCTGGTCTTGGAGCTGATCAGAGGGGGTGAGATGAAGGACTATATCTCCAAATCTGATCGTCTCTCCGAGAAAGAAACCAAAAAGTAAGTTTTTATAAGACAGCTTATTGTAAGAATAAAAATATGTTTCGTATGTTTTTAGTTATACTGCATCAGAATTAACTTTGTTTGTAGCACGAACAGAGAATTGAATATACATTTCATGCATTTTTAATGGTGTATTTTGTCACTCGATCATATCAATTCGTATTTCAAGTTGCGGTTAAGATGAGCAACTTTGCGTTAAATACGTTGTAGCATGTGATCTATATGTCACGTGACAATTTAACGTCATTTCTTCATTGTCTGACGATACTATTTAAAGATGAATGATGTTTTCCATACTGCTTTAGAGTGGTGATATTTGATAGTATCAATGGACAAAAATAGATACCAGCCGCAATCAGTGGCTGTTATGTATTGGATCACAAAATTTCAACTTAAATTTCAGGTTCATGCGCCAACTCCTGAGCGCAGTGTGGCACATCCACAGCGCTGGGGTAGTCCACAGGGACCTGAAAGTGGAGAACATAATGCTAAGCAGATCAGGGGACATCAAGATCATAGACTTCGGACTGAGCAACTGTTTAAAGTCGTTAGAGAGTAAGGGAGGACGAGGTACACAGTGTGGTTCACCTGCTTATGCAGCTCCAGAGCTGCTGGCCAACAAGGGATACGACAAACGAGTAGATATTTGGGCCATGTAAGTGGTTATATTAAGTAGCTTATATTATTAGTAGCTTATTGATGTTTCAATTAATGGGTCTGACTAACGTATTGTGATCGCTATTTCACTAACCCGATGATATATTGCTTTTATCAGCATCGTACTCTTGTCATGTCCAATTTCAAGTGAAAATTTTCAGAGGAATCAACATGTTTGCCATGTTGGTTGGGAAACTCCCCTTCAAAGTGAAACCCTTCAACCTGAAAAAGTTGTATCAAAAGATGATCACTGGAGACATGGAACTATTGCCCCCTGGTACCTCTCAAGGTATGTACCGTACTCAGCCAATCAGGGCTTCTTTAGCTGTAGATTTAGGTAATACACCATGAAGCAGTGATTAGATTCTTGATTAGGTGCACAGCAATTCTGCTAGTTTAATCTAACATAGCTTAATCTAAAATGTAACTTCAGAAGCAAGAGATTTGCTGCAACGTCTGCTACAACCCGACCCCAAGGATCGTATAGAAATCAAGGAATGTGCATCTCACCAGTGGTTGGCGGAGGGACCTATTTCTTTCATTAGCTCTCCCAACTTCCCCGTCACTGAGGAACTCAATCAAGAGGTAAGAGTCTTGTTAGCTAGATTTTTAGTGAAAAGTGTGGTCCATAACCAATTATCTTAATATAATCTCCCCGACTAACATAACCAACTACTCAATCTCTGTCAAGATCTTGCCGATAACAGATCGCATGGTATAAAAGTGTTTGTTCAGGTGATCTCGTATATGGAGGAGTTCCACAACGTAAACGTTCACTCTCTAGTTCTGGATTTGCTCACTCACAACATCAATCCCAATACCGCTACTTACCATCACATGGCTAAGAAATTCGACAGGTACGTTTGGCGCTTCACAAACAATGTGACGTTATGTGAAGTTCAAACCATACTTTCTTCTATATTGTTCTGTATTATTCCATATTGTTCTGTATTCTTCCATATTTTTCTGTATCCTTCCACATTTTTCTTCTATTCATAGACAAACTCGTCAGGTATCTGAGAGAACAAGAAAGGGGTTCTAAATCCTCGCTTAATGCTATGGATGACTCTCTCCTAACTACACCCTCCAAGAAAGAAATCACCTCAACACGCCGTGGCTCAAAAACAAAAGTTTTGAAACGTCGTCCCAAAACTGCTGGTACGGCTGTAAAACGCTCAGAGTCACAAAATGACCATACGACCCATTCCTCTGGAATAAAACCGAGGAGGAACTCTGTTGGCAACATCGTGAAGAAAACCAGCGAAAAGAAACAAAGTACCTCAACCCCCACTTCTAAAGAAGCGTTCAGAGGTAGTAATGGCCTGGGAGTTGGGAAAGCTGACACAGGATCCCCAACCAGCAGTGAAGATACCACCAGCAAGAACACACCCGAAGACTCTGGCTTCTCCGGGTCTCGGAAAATGAGCATGGTTTCGTCGACAGGATCCGCAGTGCCGAGCAAATCGAATCTAAGTTACAAAGCGGGCGGGACAAGTTTAGGTTCAAGTTACCAGAGACAGTACAAGTACAGGTCAGATGATAATGTGAACACCGTGTACAGTTCAATACCAGCCAGAACAGACAACAACTCTTCAAGGAGCAGGGATGGTAAGGCCAACTGGAGACAAACCCCCCTCATTAAAACCAAGTATGTCAGTAACACCGTGTCAGCTCGAGCCAGCCCAGTGTCCCTAGCACGAGTTTCCAACAAAACCGTCCACTTCCAGACAAACAAACGAACAGACAAACGTTCAGACACGCCCAGCATGCTGTCTGAGAACAGTCTGGCAGTGGCAAACACTCGGCCTGTCTCCCGGGCAACTAACGGCTACACTGTAACGTACGGCACTTCAGCCGGGATACAGTGGCCTCCGATAAAGGACAGTTCAGCTAAGTCAGAGCGGGGATATGCCATGAAGTCTCCCTTGCCAGGAGGACATGCTGCCTCGTTGCTGGGGCAACACGACGCTGTCAACAAACAGTCCATGAGTTATCGGTGGAGGTCTGAGTTACAGAGGGCAAAGATTGCCATTAACAAGAACACCACCCACATCTTGAAGAGAAACATTTCCTTTCCAGCTGAGGCAGCATATCGGCCCCAAACTGGCTCAGCGTACAGGACTTATTCATACAGGTAGTAATAGTCTCAAATAGCTGAACTTTGATCTTTTGTGTAATTTTGTTTTGAATAGTAGAAGTGCATGATATAATTTGTGTTCTTGAGTTTTGTATTTTGATTATTACTTTATTATTAAGACTTTTCTGACGACAATTTCGATTAAGATGCAACTGTTTCACTTTTGAATTTGCCGATGTCAGCCGATGCTTAAGGTGGCTAAGTGGAATATAAAGTGTCCGTCAGTATTCACCGCTCCACAATAAGCTCCGTAGAAAAGCTTTCGTGGTATTGTCAGGACATCTTTCTTCTACCGTCATTGATGTACGATTCATATGATTTATTCTCGGTACTTTCTCTGATTTTTAACAAAATAAAATGCGATATCTAAGCGAATTCAGCTCGTAAATACATAAAACTTCTACAATAACACTAAGCAAACATAAATCTACTATCACACAATAAAAGAATAGTTTGGAAATCACAAGTAGCATCCACGGACTCTATCCTTTGACTCGTTTCTCTTCCCATGTTTCAAAAATAAAATGCCCATCTTTCCTTACTTTATTATTTTTCCTGTTTTTATTATGATTCTTTCATCTTTTTAAAAGAGGATCATCGACTATCAGTGCCGCTGTCAATGGCACTCCCCCACTTTAATAAAATAACCATTATCAAGTATACTTTCAAGTGGGATTGACCACAATTAAATAACAAAGAACACATTGTTCTTTGAGATGACCGCTGTACATCGGTCCTGCATGTTCAGTACAAAGAGCAATGATAAAAGATCTTTGTACTTAAACGTACTTCATTCAAAAAGTACTCTTCCGAAACTATCGATGACGTTATCATTATGTTTATCTCAAGATATTAAAAATATCAAGGATTAACTATCAAAACATCACAGTGATGATCTATAGTGACCAACTGATACAGTAATACATGCTATCATGTAACAATAATTTTATGTTTAATGATCAATAAATTGGCTGAGAATTTTAACCTGTCATCCGTGGATTCTGTACGTTAATTTTCCAAATATTTAACAATGAGTCTATAAACACTTATAAAGCAAATTATTATTAATAATCTGTAAAAATTCTACCCTTCTGTGTGTACTATGATACACTGTACAACTTTCTAAAACACTGAAAATATTGCTAACAAATGGTTATTAAAATATAAGCACTCAAAAGATATCATAACTTTATACTTAGCGATACATCGTACGGGTTAAAATAGCAAGTATAGTGTCTCTATAACTGTTCGTAAAATTCTCACGATCAAATAATATGGACTGTTCTAGTTCGTTGTCCGATCATAAGGTCTCAGAACCTCAAGAGAGTGGTAGCAGTATCATCTTCACTCTTCAGCAACACTTGAGGGGAGTAGAACAAGTTGAAAGCGTGTTTATCTATCTTGTGAAGCTTTTCAGCTTGTAATCAGTTCCTGAAATGATACTTGGAATCTAATTTAATGATCATAGTTTGGCGAATATTATCACTTTATCAGTTATTCATAGAAGAATAGAGAAAACTAAAGGGATGATAAATCGCGAAAGCTGAAAAGAAGTAAAACAGCTAAAAAAGTCACCAACGTACCTCTTTTAACTTCTTAATGTCGTAATTCTTCCTCTTAATCTCCTCGTGATGCTGCTTCTTGAGCAGCTCTATTTGACTCTCTGTTCGGGGATCTGGACACTGGTGTTGCAGTGCTGGCTCCGAGTTAACCTCTCTGTTTGCCTGATAAACAAGGGCATTATTAGCTTAAACTTTTCAGCCTTTCAAAATGATTTTTTGAACCGTGAATCATAAGAGTATTATCTATTCATTGAGTCAAAACACCAGACTATAGCAATTAAATAACGATGCAAATTTTACCACAAGCTAAAAATAATCTCACATTTCTCTGAGCCAACGCATGGTTGAGTCTCTGTTGCTGATCGAGCTCTCCTTGGAGATGTGTCAGGCTCTTCCTCAACTGCGAACTCTCTTCTTGCAGCGAGGTAACCTTCTTCTTCAGCACTGTCGCTTCTACACCAGCGTCATCTGCGTCTAATTCTGACCTCCTGAAAATAATAATTTTAAGTTGTTGATTGGTAACTATTTTTCAGATGGTCACGCAGAACTCAGGAGTAAGGTTAATTGTCGTCTGTGAGTCTGTAAAGCTATAAACGTGATTAAATATTAACATGATAAAATAAAACGTGTATGATATGAACATGATTAATAAATCTGGTGACTTGAAACCTAAGATGAGAAAGGTCCTCTTGGTAGGAGGAGAGGAGGACATCTTTTTGTGAGAGTCTGGTAGTAACAGCAATTATCTGAGCCCCAATATCTGCCGTCATCAGGGCCCTGTCCTTCAGACTGTGCTCCAGTCTCTCAATTGTCAGATAAGAGATTGGGTGCTGGGGCTGGTTCAGGGCTGAGCGCACTTCCGTTGCCAGGGATGAGAACTGAAATATATTTGAGATGCTGTTATTAAAAAATAAGGCTTAACAAAATTTACAGATAGAAAACAGCTGAAATCAACAAATCAAAGGTAAATTGACAAGTCGAGATAAAAATGTATAGAGTGTACTCACACAAGCTTCACTGTGTCCAAGTAGCCTCTGAGAATCATTCAGCTCTGACTTGACTTGTTTCACGATATCTGCATTCTTCTCCGTGGTTGAATTCAACTGACGAGCCTAACAATCAGCATATAAACATTCCAATCGTTTTCACTTGCACTTCAAAAACATAAACACATAACAACATTACAACACTCAAAAACATGAACAATCTACCAAGCATGAAATCCTAAAACTGTAATATATCTATCCTACAGTGTACAACTTTTCTGTCCACATTGGTGTACTAACCTTAGTCTTCAGATCACTCTCCTTCGATCCATACTCCAAATCTTTGTTTTTAAGAGCAGCTCTCAGCTCATTAAGCTCCTTCTTTAGTCTGATTATCTGCTGATTTCCTTCAACAGTTGGCTCCGCTAAAATAAATTGTCCATCAAACTTTATTTACTCGATTATAAATATTAATCTCTAGATTCTTAAAATTTACTATGCTCAAATTAAGATCTGTTTGAACGAGATTAAAACATCAAAATTTAAATTTAATCCTGCTTTTAAGATATGATTTGCATGTTTTTCACACAATTTTAACAGAATTAACTAAGTTCTCACAGAAAGTGGGCGTCTTAGATTTGAGCTGAGCCCTGAACTCTGCGAGTGCCATTCTCTGTTTATCAATGATAATCCCATGCCTCTCATCCATACATCTCTTGCCCATCTCCACACCATCTTTCTCCTCCTCCGTCTATAAAACAATATAATTACACACTCGTGACGAAAATAAGTGTGATATCATAGCCGCGACTCTCACTTGTTTACAAAATACAAAACAATAAGCGATTGAAGGAAGGATGACGGAACATCAGTATGGAGTGATTTGCTTTCGTAAGAAAACAACACACTGCAGCTATTATTTGCGTCCCGTGGTCTACGGGAGTACGAGGAGCTGCCTTGTCGTCCCTTAATCGGTAATTTTTAATGGATATTTAATGAATGGCCCTTGTCATGTCCTGATAATCTTAATTTAAACTTAATTTAACAGTTGCATAATCAAATAAGTTCCATGCTAGAATCTCTTAGTTTAGATATTTTTTCTTGGCAATGCGAACTTATTTAGACGGTTTTAAAATAGGAGACAAATATATTATGCAACTTACCATTTCACGTTCTTTGTACTCAATCTTCACTTTCTGTTGTACCTTCTGAAATTATTTTACGGAAATTAATATCTAGGCTCGCAGACAAAACCTTTTAACGGAGCAGACAAAACTTTTCTCAACTTTCCAACTGAATGGTACACCGCTCGTGATTAAAGGAAGGCTATTCCAAATTATAGGAAGGATACAATATAAATGAGGAGACAACTAGAAATTAGAGATTAAAGATTTACCATACTATAACACGTACCAACCACATATAAATTTCACAACCAACCTTAGGCAACTTTTCAGGAACAAGAGAAAGTTTCTTTTTCTCTTTCTGCAGCTCCAACTGGAGCATATCAATACTTTCCCGCTGTATTTCTATCTGTTTGGTTTGCTGGGCTATCTTATCCTGCATATTCTCCCTCTCTATCTTCTGCTTCTCACTGAGTTCCCCGCTCATATCAGACAGCCGAGCTGCTGCTCCAGCTAAGTCGCACCTTAGTCCTTGGATTTGAACTGCTCTCTGGTCCGCCTCTGCTTTGGCAAGACCGAACTCTCTCCTGGCAGATGTATGGTTAATAAAAGTTCTGAGTCACGCACAGAAGGTAGAATTTATTGTAATAAGTGCAAGATTGCTGGTTTTTCAGATTTATCAGTTGACAGGATGCAGAAAGATTGCAATTCAATAATAATATCATGTAAGATATAATCACTGTTTATAATAAACAGCCTCTATTATTATAAACCTGAGGGTATTAGAGAGAGTTTGGAGTCTTTGTATCTCTCTCTGCATCTCAATCTCCCGGCACTTCAATATCTCGTACGGCTCAGGCGGGGGCGGCGGTACGGCTACAAATTTATTGATATAAACAGTCTCTATAATATTAATGTTTTCATGCATAATTAATAATCTTCATATGCGCATGTTATTCTGCAGGAGTTTAAAGCTTTTTCGCAAGCTTGACAAAAGTTTGATGGTTGAGAGATCGATCATTGTGATTTTGAGAAATTAAATAAATATCTTAAGAACAATGTCATGTGACGATCCAATAGCGATCATCGATTAAACTCTTTAAACAAAATCGCACACGACTCGATATTCATCATACCTTCCAGTTTGGAGAGTGAATCATTAAGATTGAGCTCCATGTCATTACAGCGTGAGTTCATAGAATGTAACTTATTTTCCATTGTAACGATTGTCACTGCATATTGCCTGTTCTGAAGCAATAAAATGTTAGCATGTAATATGTCGAGAATGTTGGTGTCCATGCTAGGATATCTGAGGGGAGACGATGCACAAGTTTAAAACACGAGAAATATCATAATCTCTCACTGTTAGATGTTTAACTAGTTATGTAGGTAGTTAGTTACCTGTTCTCGGAGTGATTCAGTCTCATGTTCGAGAGCATCAAGTTTGTCTTTCTGCTCCACACCTGTTCGCCTCATTGAAAAAGTATCAGAGTCAAACTTGGACATCTTCTCACGCAAACTCTCCTGAAATATCAGGGTTTTAAGTTTCTGTAGTTCTTAAAGATTCTCTGTTTTCGAGCAGAAGACATTGAATATATTGTAAAATGGAATTACATTTTTCATAAATTTTTCCAACCCTTAGTTAAAATATGCATGTCTGGTTAAAGATAAGTTTGATATGACCGTTTTAGTTGACAGGACAATAGCCAATTACGCAATATGTCGTTAGGTGTGGTAACCGGTTACCGGTGACGCTATGCGTAGAGAAAGCTTATGGATATTTTGAAAACGTTGCCATAGCAACGCCACAAATATAGTTTTAGGTTTCACTAAAACGTGTGCGCGGCTCGAAATATCATTTTACTCGCTGATTGAGTGCCACGGTTGGTAAACCTTTACTTGTTTCGCGCGTTACAACTTTCAAATATGGTAGACCTACTCGGCAATTTAAAATTGTTTTAAAATGCGTCGCAAACAGTTTATTAAACATTCTGGTTTTTGATACAAACGGTTCACGTTGTTATTCCAAACAAAGGAATATATAGAAGAAAACCAACCTCCATCATCCGTGAAGTCTTCTCCGCTTTGATAAGTTCTTCTATTTTAGCCTCCAATGCGGCTTGCTTTGTGGAACTTAGTGCTTCATTCTGCAAATTTTAAACATGAATTACCAGCCTTCAGCTGTGATTGATCATGATCGATCGAAAAGCAAGCATCAAATCCAGTTCACTCAGTTAAAATACCTTGAATAAGTGTATGCTTGAAAGGTATTCTAAAATTAGAAAACTAACTTCTTTATGAACTTGGATCTGAGTCTCGAGATGGGTTATTTTCTTCGTCAGGGAGGTGGTTTGAGAGGAGTATTCCCCTCTCATTTCACTCTGCTTCTGCTGCTCACTCACATACAGCCCCCTCATTTGCTCTTCGTGAAGCCGCTTTAGTGTCTGGGGATTTCCGGTTACTAAAATACTAATTATATTTAAATATTATATTAATATTAATGCTTTTCAAACAAAGTTACAACGAATTCTTCATGTAGTGCATCCTGGGTTTGGACAGGATATGCCCGTTTAAAATATTTCCATCACGTAACATTACATAATTCTCAATAAATGTAATAGATTTGTAGTGTTGTAATTAGTTCAAATGTTATTTAGGCATTAAAATTCCTTAACAGATTTAAACATACAACAGTCATATCATTAACCGAATTTGATCAACAATAATTAAACTTTCACTCATCACTGGGCCAACAAACCTCAAGTTCATCCCTGAGAGTTGACGTGTGTTTCTTGTGCTCAGCAGCTAACTTCCCTTCGTAACTATCCACAGTGTTTCTAAGCTTCTCTTCAAGTCCAGCTTTCTCCTCCCTCAGTCGTATAGTTGTGGACTTGAGATTGTCTATTATCTCTTCCACACCTGGGGTTTCTGGGTATTGAGGTTAGGTAACCACGACAACCAGCACAGCGCACATACAAGGGTAGTAGTTATAGTGATAACACAGCCAGACGAGAAGGCTTTGTTTGTTGTTAGGCTTTGTTTAGATTTAAAATGATCTCAGAAAATATTTGTGGGCTTCTATAAATATAGAATTGATACTTTAGTTCAAGGGTAACGTAAGCTTTAAAAAACATAACTTGTTAATTGTCTTCAGCTGGTAAAAGAGTAAGAAGATGCGACACTGATTACGGAACAGAACACTCTACAGATCTCACAAAAAAGCACAGCATTTCTAGGAGCAAACAAATATACGGTGATGTTTCATTTCAAATTACAGTTCATATTGGCGGATGAAAACATTTAGTAAAACAAAAACATTGCACAACATTGAACACTCACTCAGACGAGATGGTAGCCCGGTGTCTTTAGCAGCTCTGACAGCAGTGGCAGTCTTCTTCTCGACTTCAGAGGAGTATTTCTCCACTGCTCGAGCTAGGGTTAGAACCATACCCTGCAAAATACAGTTATATTGTTAGGGTCAATTATTACCAGAAAACCTTACCTAATACCTGATAGTCATATTACAATATAATAACACCAGTGAGAAAATGTGTATCAAAACTTTGTAACCAGATTTGTAAAACTGCAAACCGAGGATCGAAGAAGGGTTTTGGCCCTGCGCCACGATTCCTCCGCCGCAAATTTTATTTATTAATTAATTTTCAACTGTAGTATAAAGAAACAAAGATAAAATTGGCAAAACATTCTATCAATAACCTCAAAATATAACCCTAATTATATAAACAGAGTTACCCGTTACCGTTCAATGATCTGGCAACATTGTAAATCACGGTGGAATTTAAAATAAATACCTGAAGCCAAAGCAAGTTCTCAGATATCTCCAAAGAAGCAATCTTATCTCCCTCCTTTTCAACTTTGTCAGATATGTGAGTCTCTGTGCTCTGAACAACCTCAAGAAGGGTCAGCGCTTCAAGTTCTATCTTCGCTAGGTTCTCGTGGATACTCTCGTAGCCTGCATTGTAATTTTACTTTTATTTTCAAATTCACCTTCGCTTCTAGTTTTACTTTAGCTTTTTTTGACATACAATATCTGGAATGATCTAAAATTATCTGAAAAGTGCTGATTTTACGGTGATTTTATAAATTTCGATCATTGTTGATTTTCGATTAATGTGTTTCTCTAAATAATCCAAAACAAAGCTCACCAACCTTTTCTACAAGCAGCGAATTCCTCATCCCTCTTCTTAAGGTGTATACTAGTCTCCAGGTGTGTCTTGACTAGTTCCTCAACCTTCCTTACCAGCACATTATCGCACCCAGTTTCCTCTGTGTCTTGTAGCTTAGATAGGGCTTCTCTGATACTAGCCTCAAAGTGCTTCAGCTGGGAAGGTAAATAACGCGTTAGCACGACAATTTATCAATATCTGATCATGAATATGATAATTAAATTATTTGACTGATGTAATTGAATACGATATCACGACATTCGTCCGAACGCGGTCACTAAATTCGGACAAGGGTCGCCCAATCATCGTATACATCGTAATATTGTAGTTTCTGATAGGCAATATAAATTGTGTGGAGTGTTTCACATTTAAATCATCTGTATCTTCGATTGGGATGGATATTTTTTGATTGCGGTAAAATCTGACTATCAGAGTCCAGAGAGTACTATCATCTTCCTCTCAGTGACCAAGGGCCTTATAGTTCAACATAATTTTAACTGTAAAAGCTATATCAAGAATTCTAAAAGTGCCGCTAATCTAGAACATGGACCGTTATTATCATTGAGCTCTAAAGATTTAAAGTGAGGGTCGTAAAATGTGCTTGCCTAGATCGAAGTGTGGTATTGTAATACCCACGATTCTTCACCCACAAGAATATTGGTTAGAACATTGGTCAGAACAATGGCCAAAACAATGGCCATTAAACTGTTCATGAGATAATCGCCCAGCTTTGCCAGAGTCCGTCTTATGTTAGTGTTGTTAGGAGAGCAGAGCTTTATGAATGATCCACGAGGAAGCGATTAGTCGGGTTGAGGTGCTATGAGCTGTCGGGCACACCAGCTCACATTTATTGTTTATAGCATTTGGTTTAGTTTATTTTGACTCTATCAGTACATAGATTCTCAAAAGATAAAGCATTTCAAAGTGCCATCATGCTGAAATTGCTCTTTTTTGCTTTCATGGTGGTTTGGATTGGCTTTGGTGACTCAGATGAAGAACCAATACAGGGTACGTTCAGTAATTCAAATATTTCAGCAGTGACAACTATTTTGCAGGGCAAGACTTTGATTGCGAGAATAAGATATGTAAGAAAGCCATTAAAATAATGAATTCCCCGAATTTTCTAATTTAAATTGGTAAATGCGTAGAATTTTAATTACTTCAGTTCTAAAGCTAAAGTTGGCAGAGATTACCCCTAAAAAGGTAACACAAGGAAAAACAGCCAATAACAACGAGGAAAAATTTGCTGCAACACATGCAGTTGATAAAGACCTCTCGACGTTGGCACTCACTGAAACTGATAACGGAGCAGGCTGGTTAAAACTAGAGTTTGATAGAACCCATTTTATCCACAAGGTGCATATCTACTGGAGGTTCTACACCAACTGGTACCGTTCTGGTGATCGGTGTGCAAAAAGTGAAGCTAACTTTAGGGACTGTGTGGATAATAGAAACAACGTAGATGTGTCAGTGTATCAGGGAGACGTAAAACAGGGGTCTTGTGGAACACTCCAACTAACATACGGACTAGAGCAGGCGGACCAGATCTACACACTGATCTGTAACACTGAAGGAGATACTGTAAAACTCAGCAAGACAGTTTCAGAAAAAATTGGTGTGGCTGAAATAGCTATTATTAGCACAGGTACTTTTTAAATTAAAGGTTAAATTATCATTAAATTTTTCATCAACAAGGTAGTCATTTCCAACCTACTACGTTAGGAATTTAAGAAAGAATTTGACAAGATGCTACGTTACTGAGTAAACTAGCATCTCATCAAGGAGATACTGTAAAAAAGTACAGGATACATTGTGATAGCTAAAGTTGTTGTAACATGGGAATTAAGTAAGAGAATATGTCTAAAAATATTGAATTTAATTTAGGTTATCTTCACCATTGACAATTATTTATCGCTTAAAAGCACTGGCCAAGTAAAAATCATCCAACAAGTTTGATCATGTACCAAACGGTATTCGGTAAGATATTATCCAAATCAAGAGCCTATGGAAGAACTCTTTATCTCTATGATTATCCTATAACTGACTAATTAGAGTTATCTGACTTATTTAGAAAGTATTTATTCCATACCCCTAACCGACCGTCTCTATTTCAGGATGTTTAAAACTTTCGGTAGCAGAGCAAGATATGTGTACCCATGTACTTCGCGCACAGGCAAACGTGGACATGATCTCGGGGCTGTAAAAATCTTTAACTCAGATATCTTTCGTTTCCTTATACAGCTTATATTATTATATATTATATAAAGCCAGTAGGATGATCAACTATAAACATTTTAGCAGCCAAACTATAAGACGCCGGTTTTATCGAACAACTATACTCGACCGTGACGTTTTTCGAAAGATTTTGAAGGGATTTCAATCGAGGATCGCCGAAAGTAAAAGTAAATGATATCATGACTGCACCTCATCGCGGGAGCCCAACTCCTAATTGTCATATTATATGATAAAAATAATGGATAACATCTTTTACAAGTTGCATGTTTTCATCAAATCGCTCAAAATAAATACAACATTGAAGATACTAAAATCAAATTTAATATAAAACATAGAATAAGAACTAGTATTTTATAGCTTATTTCTAAGGTGATCATAAATAAATCAATTGTTTTCATTATATTTCAGGTGAAGTTTACCTAAGATTCCGACTTTATCAAGAAGATTGCGACAACTGATGGATCTCAATCAGCTTCCAACCAGGTTTGCTTACAGTTTGATTTAAGAGTTTATATCTGGACAATCAAGTTAAGTTTTGAACTACAATTTGAGAAAAACATTCTGCATATTTTAGCTGTGAAACGTTTTAGTGCCAAACTGTGTTTGCATAATGAAGCTACACTTCTCATTTTAGGTTTAAAGCGACATTGAAGTCAAAGTCAGTCTTTAAAAAAACGAACAGATATCCAGACTTTACCTAACAGAACTCAGCTAACTCTCATCTTGGTGAGTTCTTCTTTATAAACTGATCAAAATCGGCAAATCAATATCATTTTGAAACTGAGATTACATCCATGCTGCACTGAATGCTGATCCTTGATAATTTCTATAAATTTCTCTTGTTCAGTATTTAGTTCTTATTTCCACAGTTATACATTGATTACAACTACCTCTCAGGTTCGAAACCCATTTTATGTAAATAAATTATGTTATCTTACTATATATAAAGCGAGACGATATATATATTAGGACGCAATGAAACTACCGGACCACGGGGGACTTGCCACCCCATGGCAACATTCAAATATATCGACTCTGTTACATCGTTTCCTCAAATTAGTTGTTAATATATATAGTAGTGTTGAAAGTATTAATATCTGTTGCCATTTTACTAACACCACGTCATCCAGTTTAACACAACTTTCCGCGAAAACCGCGAGAGATATATTATATCATTGAAACATTTTTGGCTAGGTCGAATGCTTTTATGGCCTTTTGACCAGTATGAAGAAATTAAAAATTGGCCAAGAAATTGAAATTTTAAGTCCCGAAATTTGAACCTCGAATCGGTGTAAAAATCACTACTAGTAGACAAGTTTAAGTAGTACTAGTAAAATATAAAACAATTTAAAAGGAAAACACTTCAAAATGCTATAATATCAAATAAAACATTCTCACCTTAACCTCACTCTCCTTGGCCTCAATCTTCAGTATCCTCTCTAACTTAGCCTTATCGGCTACCTCAGTCTGGAACTTGGACACCATGTCACGCGAAGTAATGTGCATGCGCATCTCATGCGCTAACTTTGCCTGCACTTCTGCTAGATCCTTCTCAAGGTGTATCACTTTATCTTGGTTCTCTTGAACCTGCCTCTTACTGTCCCTGATTTGCTGGAAAAAGGTGATTACTATTACTTGGTCGTAGATACGATACTTTTAGTGCAATAATAGCTCATTTGTATAGAAACTATAGTTATAGCTTATTTCACTTTTGATAATTTCCATCAAACTTTATGCAGATAAGTTCGTACAAATGAATTTATTTATACACGCCCACTCTGCAGAAATTGAAACAATTTAAATCTTGTGTCAACTATCATGTTAGATATAGTTAATATTGAGTCATCCAGCGCCACCTGTCTCATTATAGCATTTTGGTGTGGCCTGTGGTTTTATAATATTTCTTTATAGCAAGCAAAATTTAAACACCATGCTACCAGTTCCCAGAAAGCTTTAAGCAGTATGTGCTGTGGTCACTTTATGGTCATTGGTCATTTAGTTAAATCTTCTGTTACATAATTCTATAGATATTAAAAATTTGAGAGTCCGTTGATGGTTGTATTTTAATGACTTAAAAACGCTACTACAGCTGATAAATTATCTGCATTTGAAATAGCGAAATCAGGATTTCGACAAGCTAGAAGGCTGCTAAGCTTGCAAAGCTCCTTCAATGGCTATTATCCACACGCACGAGTTCAGACATCATTGCGTCAGTTCAACACTGCAATATTGCATAACAAAACAATAAAAGAAAAGGACAAGCATGTTGGCACGCTGCTCTGCGTCTCCGTGGATGAGTTGTGAGCATAATTTGCTGTTCTGTTATCTGTCAACAAATACCAGGACAGAGAAAAGTAAACAAATTTGTTGTTTTCATCTGCAGCACGATGTAAGAGCAACTGGAGTGCAATTAGATGCAATCACATTCGGTGGCGGCGGTTTTTGGAGTGGGATGGGCGGTTTTTATTGGCAGTGAATAATACAAAATTATAGAATATTTTTAGTGAGTAGATGTTTGATTGCGGGAAAATTGATTCTTGAGCAGTCTAAGTTACCGGTCTGTCAGACTTCGTCTATAAATATTTGATTATTCATAAATTATATTATATGGAATATAAAAAGATTGAAATAGCAGTAAAATAAGAAATATTAGTTCTAATATTTCTATTAATAATGTTCTAACATTATCGGCGTTATCGACAGATATGGTTAATATTATGTGCTTGCAGCGACATCAACCTATAATTAAAATTCCACAACACTGTCTTCACCACAATAAACGAACCTTTCGTAAGCCCTTGTTTTCTTTAGTGAATATTATGTTCTGTTCCTTCAACTCGTCGGGTCGGACTTTGAAAGCGTTGTACTCAGATTTCATTTGTCTCAGTTCCGCGTCTTTTTCCGCTAACTGTCTTCTTAGTGTTACGACTGGGGAAAACCGGACTGAGTCGGGTTAGAAATTGGAGACATTTAAAAAACACCAGATCGTTTTAAAATTTGATTCTGAAATTCAGCCATGATCTCATCACTTAAGGAGCAAGAATTATTGAGATCTCCCTCCCCCTTAACTGTAACCCACCCTGCCCCCCCCCACCCCTCCCCCGGCCCCCCTGAACTGTAACCCACCCTGCCCCCACTCCCCCGGCCCCCTAAACTGTTACTCACCCTGCCCCCCCCCCCGGCCCCCCTAAACTGTTACTCACCCCCCCCCCCCCTCCCCCGGGCCCCCTAAACTGTTACTCACCCTGTCCCGAACCACCTAATTTATCTCGCTGTAACTCTTCCATTTCTTTTAACAAACTTTCTTCTCTTCTTTTCTTTTCTAACAACTCACTCTGTAGAAATAAAGGTTACAATTAAAATAACTTTATAATGCTTTAAATTTTGTAAACAGACCTCGACCGACAATTAAGTTCCCAGTAGTTCAGAAGGAAGATTTTAAATAATATTTCAAGAATTCTGCAGACTTTACTTTACTTTAACCTTAAATAAAAAGAAATTTGTGTCAAACCTGTAAACTGGCCATGACATGGTTAGCTGTTTGAGTTTCTGATTTCTGCTGTTCTAGTTTAAATAAAGCATTCTTCTTTGCAGAGCTTTCTCTTTCATAACCTGTTGGAGAAAAAGGTTCAATAGTTAGAGAAGCGCAGTACTGTTAACAAACATTTAAAGATTTTCAAACCATGTGTTTGAATCGTCAAACCACCACATCATAATCCAAACCGATTAAACATTTTAACATCTTATTTGAATAAGGCTTGATTTTTCACTAGATTTAAGTTCTACAACAGGGAGCTTAACAATATCGCTCCTTACCGTTTTTGGTTCCCAATTGTTCAACAGATTTAAAATGTTGGATATCATCGGCCATCTCCGTCAGCCGCTTCTCTTGCGCCACCACGGTGTTCTGCAGGAACTCCAACATTTGTTGTTTCTGTGTGGTATCGTGATCGGAGGCGTGTAATCCATTTTGAGAAGATCCGTTTACTAGGTTCCTCTTCATCGTAGTGCGGCTGTGTGATAATAGTTTTAAATATCGAGTATTTCGCCAACAAATCCCCTCCATCAGAAAGGTACAGCGTTTTAGAAATTAGCATGGTACTGTGGATAGAAGTCAGTCTCAGATGGTCGACTGAAAAATCCGCAATTTTAATAAACCGTAGAGAAATGAGTGGCTATTTTGAGTGGCTGTGTCCTCATACCACAGAGTGAACATCAAGGTGTGACGTGTGTTTATTTTCATTATTCCTTTTTAGGTAATTGCAAGGTTATTGAAGGTTAGTGTTATAAGTCAATAGTTTTTGTCGGCTACTGCATTACACCTGCCATGTTCCGTCTTTGTATCCGTTAGACACTTTTAGAGAATATTATAACTTACGTCACATGTTAAGCTGATAAAACATTTTAAACTGAAGTAGTAAGTACTAATCTTACCCAGTAAGAATGGACCCAGAGTGAGTCCTCGGAGCGGAAATCTCAACTTGTTCACCCTGAAAATATTATTTGTTACTTACTTCAAAACATTTCTATGTTTTAGATTAACATCAAATAGTAATAGCCGAAGCAAAAGAATTACAAGACTTTTAGTTATACATTACGACGGCATGTCTATCATGAGTTAGTAGCAAACTTAATTCATGATGTAACGTAATTGAATTGACCTAGAAATTGCTCATGAAATGAACCAGATGCCTCATGTAGCTATAATGAATCTTATTTCCACTGTAATTTAATTTTTAGTGCGGAGTCACCCTGGCAACGAAACAACAAATTTGCCAGCAGCTGTAAGTATATTAGAATGATTAATGTATTATTGACATACAATCAATAACATAAATATTTTGTTTTTAGTGCAAAATGCTACTTGAATTGGTACCTTTGCAATGGGGGCAGAGTTCGGACGAAGATCAGAAGTGATGATAGATAGTGGACTTAGTCCAGGAGAGATGAAAGTAAATGCAGGGCTATCTGAAAAAAGCAAGAATTCGTTAGAACGTTCTGAACTCATTATTATAATATTCGATTCAGTAATAATTTCGAAAATCATTCAGACTATATATTCCATTTAAAGCTTTAAATTATAATCAGAACTTCAATTTGGTGTGTAATAATCACTATGGTCAGAATATTCACATGGCATTGGAACTCACTGGGACCAAGTTTGATGATGTCACCACAGTTTAACTTCACCGAAGCTCCACTGACTCTGCAGTGGTTCACTAGAGTGCCCTCAGATGTGCCCAGGTCGTGAAGAATGTATTCAGCACCATTCCGCTTTTCTATTGTCAAGTGCTGGGGGGCAACATCTGGACCCTGATGATTAATTGGTTATCAGAAAATATCATGTTCTCGAGTATATAATGTAACCTCTGAAATAATCTGTCAAGTGTCTCATATACCCCATTAAGAACCTATTGGATGTATTGTGTCGTATTGTGATGGTATGCAGCTCGAAATGTACTCAAATCACTACCACATGCGATATAAGCTATGATAATGTAAATTTCTTGCACAAATGAAGCCAAAAAACTAAAATTTTGGAGAGAGGAAGAAACCCAGTATATTGAGGTACCCTGTAACGAGAAGCATGGTATCGAGAGATTTTATTGTATCAAATTGTTATGGTTTACCTGTATAACAAGCTCACAATCTCTCGTTCCAATGGTCGTTTTTGGAATTGAAAGGCAGAACTGGTTGTTCTCTGTATGCTGTCTTAGCATCTTTAAAACGATGTTAGTTATTTTAAGTAAAGGTAACAACAATGGTTTCAAGTAAAACAATAAACATTTATAGTCCTAAAACAATAATGGTTTAAATAGATTCTTTAGTTTGACTCTTGCTATACTACAATTACTGTTGTCTTCTAGATTTATTTATTTAGTCAATCAATTTTACTTTAAAATTGGGGATCATAGAGGGAGGCTTACGTAATATGGATCCCTTACGATCTCACTCATACATTTCAAAACAGCAAACGCTGGTTTTAAACTGTCAACCAGATCTGGTGGAAATGTGCAACAGAAAATGAATTGTACACAATGGTTTACACAAAGATACATAGTATATAACCAAAGTAAACGTAAATAGATAATATGATAAATGATTGATTGTCCTGCAAAAATATATGTGTATTAATACTTAAAATTAAAGGGATAAATCATTGTTGAAGCCTGTTAAATTTTCGTTCAGCTAATTGCTGTGGCTTTTGTTGGTTGATGTCAATCCAATTGGTACAAAAAACGTAGGGTAAGTGGTGAAACAAATTGTCCTCAGTTAAACAAAAATTTCAGTTAAACAAAAATTTCAATTTTATGCCATTTAAAAGTTTACAATAAATCAATTTGATATTTAATGGAATCCTAATTCAATGTGTAGTATGGCTGTCACTCTTTGAATAGATTAGATATAGGTTGACGGGGCAAAGGAGTGTGCGTGCTGTTCGCTATTGCTCACACCAAACGGCAACCTAGTAAAAGTTTTGTATGGACACCGGTCTCCATCACGATACAAAATTAGGATTGTGGAATTTATTTTATAACCTACAAGCAGTGGAGGGATCGGTGTGGTGCATTAATAGAGTGACAGCCTACTGATTTAGAGTTGTTTTTATGTGAGCATTATGGGTATATTTTAAATTGGTTCTTTTAATCATTTGTTTATTAAATATCAGTTTAAAAATATATAAATCTGGAATCTGTTCACACTGTGAACCATTCCTATAAAAAACCACAAAAACCCTCCTAAATTAAATATTAAAAACGTCTCAATAATGAAGATAGTCAGTCATACAATTTAGAAATTTACCAAATTCTTAATATATACCTATTAAAAGAAAAATACCTAGACCTTAATTAATTTCTACCTGTAATACACTAAATATTAGGTAAATACATAGGTTGTGGAGTCAGCACACGTTTACCAAAATCAAAAATTTTTCAATAGGAGGAACCTGTGGCCCGAGAACACTGGATTAAATTTGTTTGTTGAAGAGGGTTGTTTTCAAATGACAGCAGTAGATAAGTGTTTTTTTCTTTTTTTTTTGTCGATTCTGACAATTTACTGCCTGCTCAGCACATTTAGGAGTTATAAGGCTATTTACTTAACCAGGATGCGAAGATCTCGATGGAGGTCAACTGATCCTTTGTCTGTGGCTTAACGAAGGGCCGGGGGGGGGGGGGGCGTCTTTGGGGGGGGGGGGGGGGGCACCAAATAATCGTTTGAATGTAGGACAATTTTTTAGAGATTTTACCGGCGTATCCTCTAAAATCATCTAATTTGTTAAATTTTAGGAAGGGGCGCTTTTCAGCAGGGGGGGCCAACAGGCAACATTACGCCACTGTCCTTTGTCCAACTTCTGTTGATTGGAATTTTACTAAAATCTCTCTTTTGGTAGTGGCAAAACGTACCCATGTGCCTTTGTGCTAAATCTCTTGTCACCCCAGCACTAAAATTGTGTTCTCTCAAATCATTCTAAACTACCTTTGCAGCTTTTTATCTCTCCCGGGAGAATTTCGTACCACTAAAATATTTTTGCGCCAACTAAACGTTCAAGTGGATTGTGCAGTGGCGTAACGTTGCCTGTTGGCACCCCCTGTCGAAAAGCGCCCCCTGTAGGCCCCCTTCCCTTTTGGCGCCCTCCCTATAATTGAACAAATTAGGTGATTTTAGAGGATACGCCCGGTAAAATCTCTAAAAAAGTGTGTTTAAAGTTTTTCAAAATTTCCCACATTCAACCGACAATTTGGCGCCCCCCCCCCCCCCCCCTCAGATGGCAACCCCCCCTCCTTTGTTACGCCACTGGGATTGTGGACAGTATATAATACCAAATACACAAATCAGGGCTGCGGTCGTTAACAGTTGCACCACTGTCAAACTTTTTTCACATAGCGATCCCAGGCTTCAGTGTTAATAAACACAATGAAGGTAATATGGCAAAGTTTATACATGATATTTGTATTATTGTATTATATATCGTATATCGTATTATCGACTCTTGTAGCGGTATTCACTACTGGGCCGTGCCGTGCATCAAATAATGTTTATCGCAATCTTTAGCAGTGAGATCGGTACGTGCGATGCACCACTTGAGGGCCATGCCGAGAGAAGATTTTAGCCAAGGAAGATACTATAGTATTAGTACTAGTAGACAACTGGAGGTCGTTTGTGGAAATGACACGAGCCAGAGCAGAGTCACACGGGAAGGTGGCTCAGTATTGGGACATGGTTCACAATATCCTGAGCTTAACCCTGATCTTCCTCTCTGCTTTTACCACAATCTCCACTCTCCTGCCAATAAGCATTAAGCAATAAGCAACTATGTTAGTGCTTCTTTGGGAAGCCTTGCTACTCTTGTGTCTGCAGTGAATGGCTCTTTGAAGCCTAGTGCAAGAAGACAGGCGCAGATGGAGGCCAGTAGGCCGGGGGTTCAAAGCCCTGATGTTGAAGATGGTGAGAGTTGCGACAGAGAGATTACGAGGAACTGTGGAAGGAATACAACAAAGAATTGATAGCTGAACCCGGCCCTTCCTTCCCTCTACGTTAAAGGTCAAAGATGATACAGATTACAGAGTTTTCCATGTCGCCTGAATTTCTGATCGTGGTTGCTAAAAAGGAGGCACAAGTTTGAAAATAGAGCTGAGATATGACATCTGTCTTAGAGTTAGGGAGAACTAAAAGCTTTAATATGAATATTGAATAGATCAGCTGATAATTCATCGTTGGATAATGATTCACGGTCAGGAGAATCAACTTTACCTGAACATATAGACCGAAATTACAGAATAGAGATTCGGCGCGGCGGAATGACAGGGCTGAGCGCCGCCCAGTAAGAATCAACCAAGGTGGAGTTATCACCATTGTTGGAGACTTCGCCGCTTCGATGCTCGACGCGCAAACTATCATTCTTGCAAAATTCGCAATGCATTGATTGACGATGTTAACCCATCGAGATTGTTGCAGGTTGCTCTGCGAAGCAGAGCACCGATCGACGATGCAAAGCAATAATGCTAGTTTGCTCGTTAACGGGTGATACTCGTAAAATATTTGGTTAACTCGGCGCGCGTCCTGGTAGGTTGTAAACCTACAAGTTTGGTCGGTGCGTTGAAGCGGCGAAGTCCTCCAAGCAGAGCATGCAACGATCATCTCGATGGGTTGACATCGTCAAGGCAACTACACGGTGTCGCATGCGTAGCTTTTGCATTTCGGCTGAGTAGTGAGTACGGGCGCTTCTTGATTGACGATGTCAATCCTTCGCATCTCGCCGATCTGCTTAAGTGGTTGCGAGAAGCATTATTTGATGCGCGCGCGACCCAGTAGTGCATCGCGCTACAAGGGCGCTTCGCTTGCGAGAAGGGGTATACGGTGACATTGCGTCTATCGTGTGTCAAGCCGATCTGCGAAGGAGTTACATCGTCCGCGACTCTGCGTCGCGTCAATCAAGAATTGAACTAGGTTCGCCAAATTTTTCCAAAAAACCCTACCGGCTAAATTTTATATTCGCAAGTAAAATAAATAAAGACTTCCGGGTTTTTTTTCAAAATGTTCGTCTCGTAAATTTAAAGTTACCCAGTAACAGTTACTGGCTGGTGGTGGTACTAGAGGTGGTTTAATTCAAACAGACGGTTAGACCTCGCGCGCGACATTAAGCATGATTTGCACGCGTGGCGTATTCCAATCTTCAAGCAGCCAGCACGTGAGTCGTGACACAATTCATCCAATCAGAGTACAGGAATCTGCAAAGTTAAAGTTGCAAACTTTTGATCGGCCCAAAATGACACTTTTCTGGAGATTTGTATATAACTTCAAATTTACGTTGTTTTAAATGTTCCCCCTGGGGGGAATCGTTACTTTTACAAGACGAACATGCTGCAAAAAACCGGAAATCTCTAACTCTTTTACTTTCAAAGTTAGGCCCCATCCAGTAAGGGTTTCTGGGTAGCCCACGCTCGTCCGGATCGAGCGTTGCTCTAACCAGATTGTAGGTTTACAACCTACCAGGACGCGCGCCGAGTTGGACTCGTCGACGGTATATATGGAACAGATATTATACGAGTATCACCCGTTAAACTAGGTAAGGGAAAGACACTACTAAAGAGACTAGTAAAAACTCCTCTCCTAACATTTCTCTACTTTATATTTAAAACTCCGGGTGCTTTTGTACTTACTTTTTAGCCAGCCTTTTACGCGCACTTTCAGCCTTCACCAGCTTTCCCTGTAACTAGAGTTGTGAGTTTACATCAAAATATCAACATTTTTTCTATGAATCCAAATTCACTAGAAATATTTACATTGAGATCGGTAAATCCTGGTGCTATCAGGTAGCTGAGGGTGAGAAGAAGATAAGATAATTAGTAGAGGTCATTAAAACTATTAACTTAGCGGTGGTTAGTGGAATGTTTGTTGTACAGCAACAGTTATCATCATTTTCAGTGACCTACGTAATTTAGCCCTTATATATAGGTTCTATTGTATCCGCTACTAAACTGGAACACTAACAGTCAACTATTCTATTAGTTGATTATTGTTTTGTTAAGGCTTGTTTTAAATTATTGGGTCCAAGTAATTGCGGACATAGTTCACTATGTGTTTACCGTGTTTGGGTGCCCATCATATTTCACAGATGGGCGCGATATTTTGAACGATTCTATTTTATATTCATTTATTGCTGTAAGTGTACTCTGTAAAATTTGAAAAGTATTTAATTAAACTTAGAGTCTCGTCGTTGAAGTATCTTAAGTTTAACCCTGCGTTAACTTTAAGTGACCATCGACAGATTGCCGAATTGCCATAATATCAATATCATCTTATCAATCAGATTTAAACTACGTGGAGGATAACTAACTATGAAATTCTTCAACCGCAATTTTAAGTTCAAGTTTTGCCCACAAATTTTTTCTTCATTAACAGAGCATTATACCCAATAGAGTCGACACCATGGGGATAGCAGACAACTGGAGTTCGTTTGTGGAAATAACGCGAGCCAAAGCAGAGTCACACGGGAAGGTAGCTCAGTATTGGGACAGGGTTCACAATATCCTGAGCTTAACCCTGATCTTCCTCTCTGCTTTTACCACAATCTCCACTCTCCTGCCAATAAGCAACTATGTTAGTGCTTGTTTGGGAAGCCTTGCTGTTCTTGTGTCTGCAGTGACTGGCTCTTTGAACCCTAGTTCAAGAAGACAGTTGCAGATGGAGGCCAGTAGGGGGTTCAAAGCCCTGATGTTGAAGATGGTGAGAGTTGAGTTAGAGAGAGATTACGAGGAACTTTGGAAGGAATACAACAAAGAATTACTAGCTGAACCCTTGCTTCCCTCTACGGTCAAGGTCAAAGATGATACAGAGTTTTCCATGTCGCCTGAATTTCTGATGGTGGTTGCTAAAAAAGAGGCAGAAGTTAGAGATATGACATCTGACTTAGAGTTAGGGAGCAGCTTTAATGTGAATAGATAAGCTGATAATTCATCGTTGGATACTGATAGTAATTCACGGTCAGGAGTGAGGAGAATCAACTAAGGTGGAGTTATCACCATTGTTGGAGTAACTGTAAGTGACTGTCAGAACGTCTCGATTGTACGTCTCTTTTCAGAACTCGTTATAACCCAAACCTCATTATATTACGGATCGTTCACATATTACATAAGTCAACGAAGGAAAATCCGGTTTACGTAATATGGTTGACGAACCCTTATTTATAAGTACCATAAAATCCTTTTATTTTTGAATACTATGAAAGCTAGGGAATTTTATGATATTTCTTCACTTGTTAAACGTTGGAGGATGCAGCTATTAGGTTACTATTAGGTTACTATTAGGTTACTATCTTATCGCTGTTTTTCTTAAGCACATCCATAAACGTTTCAAAGTATTAAATCTTCCGAAAAATTCGCTGTATAATTATACAGAGATTGTAATGGCAATGTCTTTTGGTAATCTTTTCGTTTATTATTGAGTCGGATCTCCTTTTGAAAATGCAAGATGCAAGAAGTAAAAAAACTTTTTCAACAATTTCTGAAAGTGAACCACACATTTATAAAATACACACAATTCAATTTGATCATCACATTTTTGTTGTCGATTAAAAACGTGATTAAATGCGACTGAATGGACAGTAAATTGATACTAACTTAAATTCATTTTTATTGTGTCTTTTTGTCTGAATACAGTTACAAATCAGATTAAATCAGCCTCACAGTTCATATATTCACTCGACACTCTTTTACTCATTTCAGAGCTCTGATCAGGTCGACCATTGGTAGAGACAGTGTTCTTTAAAGAACTTCCCTCCGGTGTTCTTTAAAGAACTTCCTTCCAGTGTTCTTTAAAGAACTTCCCTCCAGTGTTTTTCCAAGAACTCTCTCCAGTGTTCTTCAAAGAACTTCCCTCCAGCGTTCTTTAAAGAACTTCTCACCAGTGTTCTTCCAAGAACTCTCCCCAGTGTTCTTCCAAGAACTCTCCCCAGTGTTCTTTAAAGAACTACTCACCAGTGGTCTTCCAAGAACTCTCTCCAGTGATCTTCAAAGAACTTCCCTCCAGCGTTCTTTAAAGAACTTCTCACCAGTGTTCTTCCAAGAACTCTCCCCAGTGTTCTTCCAAGAACTTCTCACCAGTGGTCTTCCAAGAACTTCTCTCCAGTTTTCTTTAAATCCATGCTTTTTGTCGGACGGTCCTGGGTGAAACACGGTCTTATACTCACAAGATAGCTGTAATATCAAAGAAGCAACTGTTAACAAAGGCTTATAAACAAAGCTGTCTTCTTCGTCATCAAGCCACTGACGATTGAATGAGTCTAATAATAGACTTACTAATAGGGTACTAATGTTAAGTGTGTATATTATCTGACCGCCAATTTAACTGCTAGGTACACTACTAAAGTGCTATATTGTACACACTAGGTAAAGACACTACTAAAGACACTAGTAAAAACTCCTCTCCTAACATTTCTCTAGTTTATATTGAAAACTCCGAGTGCTTTTGTTATTTGTACTTACTTTTTAGCCAGCCTTTTACGCGCACTTCCAGCCTTCACCAGCTTTCCCTGTAACTAGAGTTGTGAGTTTACATCAAAATATCAACATTTTTCTATGAATTCTTGAATAAAGGTCAAAATTCACTAGAAATATTTACATTGAGATCGGTAAATCCTGGTGCTATCAGGTAGCTGAGAGTGAGAAGAAGATAGGATAATTAGTAGAGGTCATTAGAACTATTAACTTAGCGGTGGTTAGTGGAATGTTTGTTTTACAGCAACAATTATCATTATCTTAGTTAGTGCCCTACGTAATGTAGCCCCTCTATTGTACTCGCTGCTAAACTGGAGCACTAACCGTCAACCGTCTACTTGTTTGCTATTGTTTTGTTAAGGCTTGTTTTAAACTTAGATTCTTGTCATTGAAGTACAGTTTAATAAATTAATGATATCGGCCCTGCAGAGAGTATATTATATACTGATATATCAACTAGTCAGTCAAATTTAAACTACCCGGAAAGTGGTTATCAACTTTCTAATTAGAAAGCTAGTTAGAAAGCTAGTTAGAAAGCTAGTTAGAAAGCTAGTTAGAAAGCTAGTTAGAAAGCATTCACAGATAAAGGAGGGAACTACATAATTCTAAAAAGAGGTGACGTAATGTGTGGTGACGTAATGTCTAATTAATTACAGTTAGATAATAAAAGTATACCTCTTTATGTTGGAGTTCTCGTCGCGCGGATCTCGTGTTAGTAATAAGAGTCATCTGATCTGATATGCTGGTGTTAAAGAAGATCGCGTGTACTCGTTCCTTTGTCTGTTGCAGCGTCTCTTTTAAACTGAGATCGGTGTTTTGAGTTTCTCTAATTTGTGGTAAAATAAATTATCACGGTCGGGTTTAGACCATCGGAGCTGTGAATTTAGCAAACGGTGTGAGAGAAAATGGAAGGAAATAATTTCGCCCTGGTTATACACCCTGTATCACGCGTAATCAGTTTTGATACCGCGAAAGTTTACGTTAACCAAGACGTAAGCTAGTATCTTACCACACTTCAGTTACCTGACAGAGACTTGTGATACATAGACATGGGAGTTTTCAGATTTGTAAGTGATTGTCTCGCCGCCTAACGCGTGCAGCTCGTTATAGTTATACAGTTAGTACCTTAAACTTTTAAATTAAATCATAATTTAGCCTAATTTGATTAAACTATTTGTTTTTTCAAAGCTTTGCCGCCTGTTATTTACAGAGGAAACTACCTGAATATCAAATGGAATCTTTCTCCTAGTCAGCTGCCCTCAACTTCATGCTTTTTTAAAAATATACATATAACAACGATTTCAAAATTGTAGGATGGATTCTTAGTCCTTAGCTCGAATATTTGTATCGCTATTCGCTGCCGAATACCGCCGATAACATTGATCACACCGCCGCCGATTTTTCCGAAACCCTGCAGCGTGTAGTTCTGGGTCTCACGACCACAGTAGTGTCTCTACTAGCTTACTAGGGTTACAGAGTCACCAAATACCGAATCGGCCGAATATATTCGGTCGACCGAATCGTTTACTATTCGATAGAATCGAACACCAAATGCTGAACTTAGATTCCGAATATTTACGGAACTATTGGGCAGTCCTAGTCTCCACAGCTCACTCATCAGTACGACAGCTGTACCGTGAAGCCAGTGAAATGAGATTAGACCCTGTAACCACCTGCTAACACCTGTCAATGTAGGGTCTATACTTAATTACTGTATTAATGTGGTTCCTCTTTGTTTAGCAGTGCATGACGGACCCAGATGTCATGTTTACTCGGAACTTTATTTCGTGTTTAAGCACCATCTCGGTGTCACAGTATTGAGTATGATTCTTTTGAAGCATCTGTTTAACTTTAACGCGTCACCTAATTTACATTGTTTAAGAGTTTAGCTAGTTTTCATATTCAAGCTTTCAATTTTAGAAAATTAAGATTTTTTAAAACTTTGTAAGCTTTTTAGTTTTTATTGTGTTCAAATAAAGAGCCCTATGCTATTCCTTGCTTCAATCTCGCATGACGTAATCTGTGGAAAATTGGTGTATCTATTTACACCGTTTAAGCTTAACTTGAAATCTGAATCTCACGATTGAGCCATTTCAAAGGTCCCCTTTGATAAGGGGGCCTATCTTGTCACTACTATTAAGTCCCTGACTTGTCTCCGAGTTCTCCCTTGCCTAATAGGTCTGATCCTGTAACTGTATCTGACCACCCTCAGTCCTCACCATGCTGTAAACTGCACTACTGTTAACTCTACTTTGTGACACGTGACACTTAGTACGTTAATCTGTGAACTTCATATTTCTGTGTAATTGGAGGCTGCTATTAGTAATGATAATAATATAATATCACTACTACTAATACTACAACTACTTCTATACTCGGACAATACGTACAGCTGGTGCGGAGTTATAGCAGGTTAATAGCCGGTTATAGCAGGTTAATAGCAGGTTATAGCAGGTTAATAGCAGGTTAATAGCCGGTTATAACAGGTTAATAGCCGGTTATAGCAGGTTAATAGCCGGTTATAGCAGGTTAATAGCAGGTTATAGCAGGTTAATAGCAGGTTAATAGCAGGTTATAACAGGTTAATAGCCGGCCGGCATCGTGCCTATTTGCTGTACCAGACACTGGTACAGAAGAGAGACAAAGAGAGCAGCGGTTATCTACTTATAGTACTGTGTTCTGAAGTCTGTACTATTATCTACTTCTAGTACTGTGTTCTGAAGTCTGGATAGTAGTACTATTACGGTAGACGGAATGTAGTTGCTATAACAACAGCTATTAGGTGAAGTACCAGAGCCTGAAGTCAATGACACGATCAGAAGCTAGAGGGGCTAGTTACTAGTACTTCAGAATTATCGACTAGCGAGGAATGTGTGCCAGTCTAGCACCAGGGGCAGGGAGCTAGACTGCACATTTAGCACATTTAGCACATTTAGCACATTTAGCACATTTAGCACATTTAGCACATTTAGCACATTTAGCAGTTCCCACTCCTTAACAGTGGTCCTGAGTCTAAGTCCAAGTGTCAGTAGTATTAGTCTACCAAATAAGTACTGCTACCCTCAGGTAGTAGTGCTATGTTCGTTTCGTTTGTTTGCCAACATTTTATTACGCTGATGAGTATTGAGTATAAACGCAGTTGTTCATTAGTTTTCTTTCGTTGCTTCTTAGTTTTCTATTGATTTTGACATGTTACTGTCATGATAGGAACACGTCGTGCTGTTATCTTAACATGAGCTAATACTGATCGAATACTATCTCTATCATATACGCGTTAGATCGTGCTGGGGGGATACAACGGTCATTAATGTGCATTAATGGGCATAAATGGGCATTAATGTGCATTAATGTATATGTATATTTCAGCAAAATTCTATAATACTGCCATTAATGCCCATACTTTTTTTCCCATTTTTTATTAAATATGGGCATTAATGTGCATTAATGGGCATTAATGTGCAAAATTTTAAAATACTGCCATTAATGCCCATACTTTTTTCCCATTTTTCTATTAAATATGGGCATTAATGTGCATTAATGGGCATTAATGGGCATTAATGTGATTAATGTATATGTATATTCAGCAAAATTAATGTGGAGATCTCAAGTACGGGCCCTCATCCTCCTTACAATCTCATTCCTCGTCGTCAGTCAGGGAATAGGTATGAAATTGATATTAAAATACTTACTTTGTGTTTCTAACGACAAACTCTATTATTTATAATACCTTCGGTTCGATCTTGCACGGTTAAAATTACGCGCTCTCTACAAATACTAAAATTCTTTCGTTGAACTTATTCTAGAACATAGGGCCTAAGCTGGTTGTTTTCATGGTGAGTCAAGGCTAAACTCCATATTTCAGGATGGACGGACACAGATACTGGCGAAGAGAAAATAGCACATGATTTCAGGTCGGCACCTCTCCAACTCATGACAGATGCGGAGTTTGGAAGTGGTGCTCGAGTCCACATAGGACTACGGTTAGAGGTGGACAGTAACGATAACACGGGTACAGGTGGAGTTAAAATAGAGCTCAGTAACCCTCCGCAGTACTTTATCACCTTCTGTTCTGACAACTGGACCGAGTTTGAGGGTACCCAGTGCTCTCAGCTCATTAAAACATGGACTATAACCAAGACTAGCTCCTCTGTTAGTATCAGTTGTAACCTGCACATTATAGCTGAGTATCCCTTCGCTGAGTCCAGCAGGGATAGCTGTGTGTCTCATTGGGGTTTGAGGTCGGGAGGGTTCTCTTTTAAAAAGATTACAAATGACGGGGGAGACTCTGCTTCTAAGAAATACAGAGCTAAACCAGCTACAAAATCAGGTAGAACAATAATGGACTTTAACGTGGCGACTTTCCACATTCTACATAATATATAACAATTACAATGCGATACAATTCAAATAGTAAACAGAAACTTTAGACTAGGCCATGTCATGAAAAAAAGTAGCGGAAACTTAATGATATTGGGGTATTGTCCTCATTTAGCCAGTTAATTTTGCGAGACCATCTTCCCCAGTATCTGACTGTATTACTCCTAGATTGTACGAGGATCCCAATCTCTGGAGTGAGCACAGAGCCAGCAGACCGGCCAGTTGATCCCGGAACTATTGTTACTGTGAAGTGTAACAAGGGGTTTAACACTGGTGACAGTGTTATAACGTGTAACAGCTTCCTTTACGAGCAATTCAGTTACAAAAACAAACCAGCTTGTGTTGAAATAAGCTCCTTCGGTAAGCGTCAGAAAGTAACAAATAATTTATTGTATAAATTGATTGAATATAAATAGTTGATGCCAAAATATTAGGGAATATTTTGGTATCATTTATATCTCCTAACTTCCTAATATTTATCTCGAAGATACGTTTTGACATTTCTATTTCTAATCTTCATTGTTCGGGCATTCGACAATCTGAATTTATAGATGGCGAAGGCTTCAACATGGTCAGTAAGTTGTACAAGTTATGAAAATTTGCCCCAAAGTTATAACATATTGATTCCCCAAGCTCAACTCCGAAATCATAGTTAAAACTTTAGAACTAGATAAAAATTCAGTACCTGTCGTAAAAAGCACGGTCCTGAGCGGACATCTCCGAACTAAGTCCGTATCCAGATAATATCTCCTGAGTATCTCGGACCGTCTTGATGTGTTGTTGAACTTTGTAGCTGTTTAGTAGGGCTCGGGTAAGGTAACCTCTGATGTGGGCTGCTATTTTGCTGGCTCGCTCTTCTATAACCTGGACGCAAAGTTGGTTAGTTACTTGAGTTAGGCTGGTTTTATAGACATAACTCAATGATAAAATAGCAACCTGACTGATGATGAGAATACAATTGAGCTGAAGGAAATGTTTGTATACGCAACATCTCAACTTGCTATATCTCTTGTACTTTTGCAGATAAGAAACCCTTTAAAAACTCAACTTACCAGGCTACAATCAGTGTTGTAAGACTCGTTCCGGATCCGCCTCGGAGTAACAACAACCTCTCCACTCCCAACCAATGGGCTCTCAGCAGGAGGAGGCTTGACAGAGAGAGGGGTCGAGGTGAGGAGGGCTGAACTAGATCGGGCCCTTCCTGGTAGTCCTGGAATTCGGGACAGTTAAATATTCGAATGTGTAGTTTATAATTATTATTTCTATTATATTTGTTAGCTCATTCTTTAAAAATTCAAAATGTGAAGATAAAATTTTCCGCTCACCAGGTGATTTCCTGTCGGTGCGAGGAGATGAGACCTTCTTGACAACCCGAGACAAGTCCGTAGAGCTGTGAGGAGAAGCGATGGTGTTCCTGCGTGCAAGCCCTGGTCTTGGGGAACGTGGACTATCCACTTCTACGTAGAATGAGATACCTCTGCGCGGGGTTGATGGACTACTGGGGGTAGGACTCGAGGGGGTGGTTGCAGTAGAGGGCTGGTCTGGGAGCTTCCGTGTTCCAACTTTCTGTGGAGATATCTGATATTCTGGTGTTACTGATCTTATTTCTCGCTCAGATCCGATATAATATGATCGGTATGAACACTGCGATTCTTTCTGTTATATTATTTATATTATATATATTAACATGTTACTATCTTTATTCTTTATGTAACTTGTTTTTAGAGTGCAATGAAGTGATAGAAATCGTGTAAATGTAGTAAGTTTATTATTCAAGTTAAATTATTCAGAACATAACATACCCCGGTCAGATTGAGACTAAAAGGGCGCCCAGTTTCAGAAGAAGGAGAAGGTGGAGAGTTATTGAGATCAAGTCTCCGCTTAGCAGTGCTGTTTGGAGAAGGGCGCTGTGTGCCTCTTAGCACCGCACTCGGAGTGCTGTGTAATCCAGAACTCGACTGCATTGTAATGTCCAGTTCTATGACTGCCTCCAACGCCTCTAAATGACGTAGTACCTGATTTGTTTAGTCTTCAGTTTATTTTATATAAAGGATTCAAATTCAAAATAGTTGATGCTCATTCAAAATCGGCATTATTTGTACGTATTTTCTAAACATTTAATTTAAAATTGTCTACGTTTAATCAGATCTCCTCACCTGAGAAGATGGAGGACTTTTTTCTGACGTTCTCCTGAAATTTACAGATGATTAATTTGATAACAAAAAATTATGATATTTCAGGTCACTCCAACCAACAAAAAACATTCAAAAGCAGAAAGCCTTAAATTCATTCAAAAATCTTCGAGTCATCTCTTAGATTTAGAAAAAAAATGTAGAAATGTAGAAATAAGTATACGAAATGAAAATTATTATGAATACAATATTATGAGACGCGAAACCACCTAAAATTGACTCACAGCATGGATGATGGAAGAATGGGCTCGATGACCACTGCCTCCCCTGTCTCAGTAACCACTGCCTCCCCCGTCTCAGCAACCACTGCCTCCCCCGCCTCAGCAACCCCCTCAGTACTACCAGCTCCTTCCTGCAAGTTTGACAAATCCAACACCATGCTCTGTGAGTTTGACAGTTCCAGTTCACCACGACTCAGCTCAGGTTCTAACACAAGACTGTTAGAGTTATACAGCTCTAATTCCTCCCGCGACGAGCTGTGATCAGATACACCACTCTCTTTGGTTGCTACGTCGGGTTGAGAGTTGATGTCATCTTGAGCCGAGTCAACTGAAGAGAAGCTCAGATTTTTTGGCACTATGATATTCACAGACTCTTTATCGATACCGGTTGAAGCATCGGTGCCAGCCGTATCATCTGCAGCTGTAGCAGCACTATTTTGTTGACTGATGACGTTTTGAGAGGAAACAGCCGAGAGTGGTTTGTAAGTTTTACTTACCATTGGTGAGCTACTGTACTGACAGAATGGCACCTTACCTGCGGGAAAAGGCGTAACATTTAAAGTTGCGATGATCTTACTATCTACTGATCTCGTTGTTTTGATTATCAATATTAGATCAGCATGGTTTCACAAATTCTACAAAACTGTTAAAAGTTTGTACGTGCATCACGAGACTAACGGAGTAACACAAAAGTTAGCTTTGCGCGTTACGAAAATTATTAGTGTAGACCTTTGGAAGCGAATGTATGCAAGTATCTGTTTTTAAATTTCACTGTGGGGTTTGTTTTTCTTTTAAAATGTTCCGTATATGTTCTAGAATTATAGTCTGCAGACCAAAGTCCCAACTATACTATACTAACTACTTTCTGGGCCAAAGAACCGCTTATTTTCGGAACTATTTATATTTAGTGTCTCAACTAGCCAGCGGTTCGAGCACAAATTTGTGACCCTAAAATGGGCTCTCAATGGGCCACTTTTTGGAGCTATGTAACAAATTTCTGTCAACAATACGACCCTTACTAAACAGTACGCTGTACTCGGTTATGTGTCGTCTAGGGAGGGTCTACCCAGTTATGTAATTAGCAACTATGTAATTAGCAACTATCTAATTAGATAAACTAAATAATTAACTCACCAGTAACTCCGGTAACTCCAGTAACGCCAGTAACTCCAGTAACCCCAGTAACTCCAGTAACTCCAGTAACCCCATTAACTCCAGTAACTCCAGTAACCCCAGTAACCCCAGTAACTCCAGTAACTCCAGTAACACCAGTAACTCCATTAACTCCAGTAACCCCATTAACTCCAGTAACCCCATTAACTCCAGTAACTCCAGTAACTCCAGTAACTCCAGTAACTCCAGTAACTCCAGTAACCCCATTAACTCCAGTAACCCCATTAACCCCAGTAACCCCAGTAACTCCATTAACTCCAGTAACTCCAGGCTGTTGCATCTCCTCCAGATCTACCCTCAATAATATGGCATCTTGAGAACCTTCCTGCTGGTCCTCTCTGGCTGTCACATACTCGTCAGGGCTTTTACACAAACTCTCTTGAGACTCCTTTCTGTCTCGGTGCTTTTTCTTGATAGCTCTTAGATTCAGCTGAGGTACTGCCTCCTGAAGGGAGTTAGGATAAGTCACCCCACCTCAACTCACCTCACCCCACTTCACCCCACCTCAACTCACCCCACCCCACTTCACCCCACCTCAACTCACCTCACCCCACTTCACCCCACCTCAACTCACCTCACCCCACTTCACCCCACCTCAACTCACCCCACTTCACCCCACCTCAACTCACCTCACCACTTCACCCCACCTCACCCCACTTCACCCCACCTCAACTCACCTCACCCCACTTCACCCCACCTCAACTCACCTCACCCCACTTCACCCCACCTCAACTCACCTCACCCCACTTCACCCCACCTCAACTCACCTCACCCCACTTCACCCCACCTCAACTCACCTCACCCCACTTCACCCCACCTCAACTCACCTCACCCCACTTCACCCCACCTCAACTCACCTCACCCCACTTCACCCCACCTCAACTCACCTCACCCCACTTCACCCCACCTCAACTCACCTCACCCCACTTCACCCCACCTCAACTCACCTCACCCCACCTCACCCCACCTCAACTCACCTCACCCCACTTCACCCCACCTCAACTCACCTCACCCCACTTCACCCCACCTCAACTCACCTCACCCCACTTCACCCCATCTCAACTCACCTCACCCCACTTCACCCCACCTCAACTCACCTCACCCCACTTCACCCCACCTCAACTCACCTCACCCCACTTCACCCCACCTCAACTCACCTCACCCCACTTCACCCTGGCAGGGCCGGCCCCCACTTCCACTATACTATTCTAGCAAACTAACCCAAACCCTTGATATTATACTACTTACCGAAAACTAGTGTGACCATTTTATTGACAATTTTATTGACACACATTTTATATATTCCCATTCAAAGAGCGACAAGGGATAAATACTGTCAATTATTCCAGTTATACTATATATCAAAAAGGAATAAACTCCAACTATATTCAAGTTTACCATAGATCAATCACGATATTAACCCATTAGGGACGATAGGGTCGTTTACGACCCACCTTTTCTAGAGGCTATAGAGGACAAACCATAATACTAAACGCAACGAATCTTTCGCACATATGCTCAAAATTTATTGGGCTACATTATTGACTTTCCAGTCGAGACCCAATTAATTACTAACAACTAAATAATTAGGCTAATTAGTCGTCATAATTGGAAAATATTTCACTTTACTTCTTGCCTTGATTGGGACATTAAAACTTTATGTAGGCTTATTTTGTTGAGGACAAAATAGTTGCGGGCAACGATTTCCTTGAGACATATGAAAAGCCCGTGATAATCAGATGTTCACAAACAGAGCTAGACGCTGTTTACTAACTGCGGTCGCATACGACCCACTCGTCCGGGTCGCAAACGACCCATCACGGTTTTTCGGCTTTAACTTCTGAAACAAAGACGTTAGGATAAAATAAAAACTGTAGCATAAGTTAAAAACATATGGTCAATACTGTGTAACTCTAACCTTTTAAAAATAAAGAATTTGGGTCATTAACGACCCACTCGGCTCACTTGCTTATTACTACATATGTCCATGTAACTTCTTGAATTCAGCCTAAAGCATGACATCATAAGTTCAAAATCGCCTCTCAGCAAGTGATAATCATCATAAACTGCGAAAAATCGGTTAAATGGGTCATTAGCGACCCACTAGGACCACAAAATTGATTAATTAAATATAATGTTGTCAAAATTTTACAAATATTAGTATAAAAACATGTTATATCTTGGTCATTACTCCTGTACGTTGATTTAACTTTTCAAATCGATCAACTGGGTCAATAACGACCCACTCGGAAGTTGAACCACCTCATCAATTATTATCAGTATCATGCTGTTCCACCATCAAGAAAGACACTCGTAGGTCTTAATTCCACGCAAACCACGGGTGGCTGACTACTAGCCCTTCTGAGATCCAGGGCCAACTGAAGGGCCGTCATCACTCATCAAAGAGCTGCGAGAATAACACTACTGCATATGCCTGGAGTTGCGTCCTGACTATAATATTATGGTGCGTGGAATTCTGTACCGAAAGGACCGTGGCCGTGCCGCAAAAGAAAAGGAATCGGCCCTCGTTCATAACTTGCTAGGTAATAGCCATGCTGTTGTTGTTGCTTATTAGATTCTGTTACCTTTTTCGTCAATTTCGAATCTTGGTAAACGACCTGCTACAACCCACCGCTTGAGACCCAGGGTCCCACGGTGATCAGATCATGTCACTCAAGAAAAATCCCCTGAACGAAGTATACGAGATATCATGTAACCTTGGGTAAATACTGAAAGACGAGTGGTCAAATTGCATATTCTAATCCAACATGCCAATATGTTTTTTTCATTCCTAGAAAGTACGAGAATAACTAAACAACTGCTGCATTCAGATGGCTACATCTACAGCTCTGTGAAGAAGGACAAGGAAAAAGCCCCCCCCCCCCCCCCCCCCCCCCATTTGGCTGGCGGTGCTGCAACCTGCAATCTCTCAGACAATTACTACCTCGTTTTGGGTAACAAACCCCGCAACAACGAGGCAGCTTTCAAAACGAAAACAAGTATTACGTAATCGGCCGAGAGGGAGGGGAGTTTCCAAATGATTAAGCTTGTGTAATTTTGACATAATAGCTATGTGGTGGGGGGGGGGGGGGGGGCGTAAAAATTGTCCAATAAGTGATTACGTAATATATGAACGGCCCCTAAGAAGTAAAGAAAGGGAGCTGCGAAGAGAGTAGATGCAGCCATCTGAAATCTGAATCCAGCAGTTGTATAGTTCTTCTTGGACGTTCTAGGAATCGGGAAAAGATAGGCATGTTGTTTGCTGTCTCACGACATTACGGTCGTGTACTAACAGCTGATAAACTCACCTACCTATCAATCCAATTCTGCCCATTATTCGTCAGTCATTGGGTGACGTGATCTGCAGATTACCGTGAGACTCCAGATCTCAGAAGGGCTAGTAGTCAGCCACCCGTGGTTTGCGTGGAATTAAGACCTACGAGTGTCTTTCTTGATGGTAGAACAACATGATACTGATAATTAATGTCGTGGTTCAACTTCCGAGTGGGTCGTTATTGACCCAGTTGATCGATTTTAAAATTTAAATCAACGTACAGGAGTAATGACCAAGATATAACATGTTTTTATACTAATATTTGTAAAAGTTTGACAACATTATATTTAATTAATCAATTTTGTGGTCTTAGTGGGTCGCTAATGACCCATTTAACCGATTTTTCGCAGTTTATGATGATTATCACTTGCTGAGAGGCGATTTTGAACTTATGATGTCATGCTTTAGGCTGAATTCAAGAAGTTACATGGACATATGTAGTAATAAGCAAGTGAGCCGAGTGGGTCGTTAATGACCCAAATTCTTTATTTTTAAAAGGTTAGAGTTACACAGTATTGACCATATGTTTTTAACTTATGCTACAGTTTTTATTTTATCCTAACGTCTTTGTTTCAGAAGTTAAAGCCGAAAAACCGTGATGGGTCGTTTGCGACCCGGACGAGTGGGTCGTATGCGACCATAGCTGTATCTTTTAAAGTAAACGAGATACAGATTAGCTTTTTTGGATATCTCATTTTTGCTGTAAAGTGACCTAGTGTGTTAAACGGCATCAAAATCGGCAAACTTTAAAACTCGTCGTCCCTAATGGGTTAAAACATCTGGGACCTGGGTATAGTTTACATTTCTATCACATAGAAACGGAGAATTTCCAATAGATCTAATGACGAGCCATTTTCTGTAACCAAGAGGTCAAACCATTGCACTTGGAGTTCCATCTAAAAACATTACTTACATTTGAAGTTTTTTCCCATCTTGTTAACCTCACCAATGCCATATCTATGTCTTTTCTAATGTCCTTTCGTTCTTCATTGCTCAACTGAAAAATATTGTTTTAAAGATTTTTTTAAAAACTGCTTCTTAGCAACATTTTAGGACATATTCAGATTTCAGCTTTCCGCTGGGCAGTGATAAAGCTTGCAACTTACTCTGGGAAGGGGTAAAGCTTGCAACTTACTCTGGGAAGGGGTAAAGCTTGTCCATTGCAGTATAAGAATTTAGATAGACCTATGTTTGAGATCTCTGTAACTCGCTGATCAGATGCAAGACGATCAAGAACTGCTTCTGGCTTTTTAATCATTTGATTAACCTGTAAATGATGAATTTTAAAGTTGAAGACATTAAAAACGAAAAGATACCAACCACCAGGGATAAATTATAAATAAATTATACAAAAAATGATTGTAGTAGGGTGATTAAAAACAATTTGCTGGGTGATAAGATTAAAATGAGGTATTTACCAAGATGTCAACGTAGTTTGCCATAGTTGGATCTAACATTTCACTAGCTGAACAAAATCAAATTAGGATTAGGAGAAAAATTAGTTTTATCAAATTCAGCAGTTAAAAGATAGAATAATTTTGCATTTCATCTCAGCCAGATGTCACGCGATCTGTTTTAATGGCCCTGAACTTAAGAACTTGAGACCATCACTTCAATGACTCGATTAAGTTATTTATTACTCATAAAGGTAAATAAAATCGTGAGCTTAGAAATAAAGTTAGATGTTTATCATTAGATAATAATAATTTTTAATTCAGTAATTCAAAATTCCGTAGGGATACTCTCAAGAACCAGTACTAGAATTATCAACAGAATAATATTCAGATTTAACTTTAAATACGGTGTTGTTTAATAAATTCAAAATTAAAAACGTAAAATTGTTGAGGACATGCTATTAAACATACAACAGATAAACAATTTTGACAATTTCATTTTCGCACAGTTTTTTTAGATCGATATAACATCGAATTTAAGCAAAACTAACCGTTAAAAAAAGTTATGATTTATTTCGGTGGGGATGTGAAAAACATAATCAAAATCCTCATAATTAAAATCTCGAATTAATTTCGAATGTCGAAAAGAGGGGGGGGGGGGGGGGTCAACCTCATTTTACCTCATTTTACCTCATCCCATTTTGGCTGCCCGAATGAGGTAAAATGAGGTAAATTTCGGCAAAAATTTTATAAATCATGATTCTTGTTCGTAAATAATTTTGCCGGTAATCAGGTTAGTTTACTCAAATCAGACATCCTGAGCTACTTGCCAGTGATTTAGTCTTATGGGAACGTATTCATGGTACTGGTAGAGCACAGCAAGGCCGACCAAGACTAAGCTACTTGTCTATGTTACTGAAGGAAATTGGGACAAACTCTAAAGAGGAACTGTGAACCCTGATGCAGGACAGGGATATAGAGGGGGTTATCTGGCATTATAAGGCGGTTCACAAAACCACTTTTCGTTCAAATAATTAGATATCACCTCTAATTAGTTGCTCTATAGGGTCAGGAACAACCAAAAAAATTTTTGTGTCTCTACGGTTTCGTATAATACTGACTTGGGCCACGCCCATATTTTTCACCAATTTTTAACAGGTAAAATGATCTAAATCGTCAATTTAGTCACGAAGGAGTATGGAAGGAGTTCTGAATGTGTGCTCCTCTAATATAAACAGTAAGAAATGGTTAACTTTAGTCGAGGTCTCAGGTCTCTACAATGTCGGGAAGTTCCTGCAGGAATTTGCGCATTGCGCTTGAAGCGCAATATTCACAGCGCCAAAAGCGAAGGTCGTAGAGACATGAGACCTTGACTAAAGTTAACCATTTCATACTATTGCTATAATAGTATGCCACTTTCAGAGTCCTGAACACACTCCCATATCTCTTAATCGTCAATTATATGAATTTTACCTGTTAAAATATAATATCATCTTTTACTGATATCAATTTAGCTCACTGTTAGTTTTAAAAGAAAATAATACTTCACACCAAACTAACACACAATATGAGAATATAAAAAGGAAGGTTTTCTTGGAGACCTGGACCGACCATCAAAATAGTGTACATTGCTACTGTCATTGTCAAGACTCAAGAATAAGAGGGTCTAGTTGTGGGATTATGCTGGATAACAGATATGATAAGTGGTAACATCCTACAAAAGAATGTTAGCTTACTAAGGGATTTTCCTCTTACCGAATCATACAAGAAGTTAACTAAGTTCCTCCTAGTCCTAAGCATTATCTTGTTTCAGAGGGAATGAGTGATTTAAAAAGATGAGGCCAAAGAGTTAGTTGTGAAGAAGGCATTTTTACTCAGTAATTACTAAGCTAATTTTTTCGATATTTATAGCTATTTACTGATCTTGTCTTGACGTATCAGCAAGAGATCACTGGACCTCATGTTATGCTGATCCAGTTAGTGACGAGCTATGAAGTAATCATTCGACCTCATTTAATACTGATCCTATCAATGACGAGCTATGAAGGCGGGGTGCAACACCTAACCCGCCAATCCCACTAATCCCGCCAAATCCCGCCAAATCCCGCGTAATCCCGCGTAATTCCGCGTAATCCTGCCTAATTCCGCGTAATCCCGCCTAATTCCGCAAGTGCAGGGTTAGACGGAAATTGGCGGGGTTATGTGCAACACCTAACCCCACCAATCCCGCGTAATCCCGCCAAATCCCGCGTAATCCCGCCTAATTCCGCCTAATTCCGCAAGTGCGGGGTTAGACGGAAATTGGCGTGGTTATGTGTTGCACCCCGCCTTTGTAAACAACCATTCCTTCACGTGGCTTTGTTCTTCAAACGTTTAATATCACCACACAGGCTACGGTGTCCGGTCATTTAACTTTTTAGATTTGAATAATTGACAATGGCAACCCCTCCATTTTGTGCTCCATAGCGCCCCAAGAATGATGAATAAAGAACCATTATTTGATATTTTGACCAACATGAAACGATCGTTAATTGTAATTTTAAATTTTAAAAGGCAATGCCTACGGTTGATGGAAATTTAGCGTCCGCTAAACGGCGTAAATCTTGTTAACTGTTGAGTCTTGAATACAAGTCAACAGTCTTCAGTGTGAGTTTAGGACGACACAGGCGGCTGGTGGTTAGTACCATCAATTTCAGATCGGTTTCAGAAAGTTGGACCCCTTCCCTAACTCTAAGTTTCGTAAACTTTCTAGGGTTTCTAGCAATAACTCTAGCAGAGCAACACTAAGATAATCATGCCGTATAGCCGTATGGGTACGATAATGTTTGTTATAATAGAATTGAATAAGACCTTAGTCTGAAAGCTATTCTACCAGTTCTTTCTTTACTTAATAATTAAATATCAAATTAGAAAAATAAACGAGCTGTTTCGTGTCGGTCAATTATTTTGAGTTTTGATCGAGCTGTATATCCAGAGGATGTGTATTTTAGAATACAATCAGCTGATTAGACCAGTAATTTACCAGCTGCCAAAGGGTTTGCTAAACACACGTGAATGGGAACCGTGACCGGACACGAGGGCGGAAGGCACTAGGGTGGTAACTGGTACTCAAACATCGACACGCATACGGAACCAAACATCGTCCTAAATGATGAGCTAGTAATAAACTTATAATGGCATCACACAATTTCATTTTAACTTTTGTTTATAGGCGCCAACCTACTTTTATATTTATACACATTCATGATTGATAAATATTTTTTTGCTGACTTAGCCATATTCAACAATCTATTTATATCTGGCTTTACCGACAAAACATACGATTAAACAGGTTTTTGATGTTCTGAGGTAAAGCTTAGCTCGAAGAATTGGATCTACTCACGATTAAATTTGAAACTAAACATATTGATGTGACAATTAATAATCACCCAGATTTAAACCACCCAAAAATTGAGAGATTTTCCTTAAATAATTAGCCAACTCAGCAGCAGATTTTGGGGTTTGGTAACGTGCTTAGACCAATCACACACTGCCTAGATGTTCATGCGACAAACTTGATTCTCAGAATATCGCCGTCGCTGATGCAACAGTTACCCAGGTTTAGATCAGGGGTAGTACGTACCAGGATGGGTATTAACTTTGGGCTGACGAATTTTACTGAGGTGTGTTCACTCAGTTTCAAACCAACAATCCTCTCAGTTAAATCAACCACTAGTACTTATTTTCATTTCAATAAATTTGAAATAAACTGCTAAATAATAAGTTATCACTTGTTACGTAAGCCAGATGTTAATCATTTTATTTGACGTATTTCATTATAATCATATAAATGACCAAACGGTTGAGTGAACGATTGTCAAACTGATTTAGGCTTTTATTAGTTCGCCTGACCGTCTTTGCTTCTGTCTTTTTAGTTTAAATCCAGTTGTTTCGTTTAATGCCACTAAAGTCTTATAAAATCAGATGCAATTGAATTATTGAATATGACAACATTTTAATAAAAGATATTAATTAATGTTTATAAAAGTAGGTTGGCGCTTATAAACAAAAGTTAAAATAAAATTGTACGATGCAACAAGTTTATTACTAGTTCGTCATAATTTAGGACGGTGTTTAATTCGGTCCTCGTGTCCATGTTAAAGTGAGTCATGTGGTTCGCCCTCGTATCCACCCTTTAATATTAGGAAAGTACCGCCCTAGTGTCCTATACCCGAGTTAATTCATATAATATCAGGACACAGGATGGTATATTCAACGACTTATGTGACAGAAACAAAACCGTATTTGTATTACTCCTACAACTACAACCACGCAGCTGATGTGACCTACGGGACTATCTGTTGTCTGTGCTTCCTTCTCGGGACGGTGGGAAATATTGTGAGCTTTCTGTATTTTAAGGACAAGAAAAGGGACATTGCAAGCGTCACCTATATGGTGATTACGGCAAATGATACAGTCGTAAGTGTGATAGTACTCCCCGTTGGAATTTCGTTTTTGTCAGAAAGAAGTCCAGGTATCGTATTCGGTACGAACCTGGGCTGTAAAGCCTGGTATTACTTGTGGGAAATAGCAGTTTCACATAGCATTTTCTTAGTGCTATGTTTGTCTTTAACTAGGACAGTGTCACTGATGAGACCATTCCAACAACGGAAAATAAGGTATCTGCTTATAGCTATAGTATCGTACTTATTGCTAATATTGGCTTCGATAATTGGACTCAATGTTCAAGACGGTTGGAAGATTCAATTCTTCCTTTTTTGGACACGTTGTGGATTGAATGCCGGTGGAATTTCTGCAAACAGGACTGTAATTATCCTTCTTATCATCCATAACTTAGTGCAGATAGTTCCAGCGTTCGTAGTTGCAGCAAGCTGTATCATATCAGCTGTGTTGCTAACAATAAGAAATAATGTAGCAGGGCAACAGGAGCTACAGCAATCCAGAAACAGGGCGACAATAACAATTTTACTTTTTGCTTTTGTGTATGGAGTGTGTAATGTTCCCCTTGCCGTTCATTATATCTTACAAGCATACGCCCTACACACTGATAACTGGGAGTGGTTCTCTAATATGTACCAGTTTGATACACATTGGTACTACTTTAGCGCCGTATCCACTGTACTCATGGCAGTGAACTCGGCAGCAAACCCAATTCTATACTTTTGGAGAATGCCCAAGCTGAGAGAATTCTTCAAAGGGATATTGAGACTGAACAGAGAAAATAGGAGGCCTCCGAATATCATTAACCAGCAAGAGAGAGGACGTGAAGCTGCAAATGTAGAGACTCGTTTATAATTAAAGACCACGTTTTAAAATCGATTAAACGATAAGATTACCGTTTTTTAATTCAATTAAATGCATTAAAGCCATACGTACAATTTAGTTACAGCGGTTACGGAACCGAACAATTTTTCATTTTCCTTAATTTCTTCGCATGATATAGCATGTGCTGCATATCATCGAAATAATTCCACATTGAAAGGTACTTTTGCAAAAAAAGATTATGGACTTCCATTTTTACACAAAATTTGTAATATTTAAGCTCTCTTGACAATGGCAAAAGATCAATATATAATAGTGAGATTAATTACCCTTTGTTAATTTACTGAGGAATCAGCTTCCTTGAATCAAAATCGTCCCGTCCCTTTAAAAAATACCTTGCTCCAAGAACTTTATATACCGCTGCAAAATTCATTAAAACCAAACTTTGATGCAATTATGTGCAAAGTGATATTTTACAAATTAAGAGTTTATTAAACTATTGGTTTTAGCAGGTTGCATCTTTTAAAGTTTTTAAAAAAGGAAGAAACAGGAAAAAAATGTATATTCTATTTACGAGTGCTAACTATCTTATCATTTAAGTGTGCTTTAACTATCTTTATTTTATTTTGTTAATGACATGTGTGCTGTTATTTGCTGTTTAATATGACTGAGTAGAGTAAGAACATTTGATGTGATCAATAACATTCTGATCCGTATTATTGAAAAAAGCGTTGGAGATTTCTGTGCCCACCGGCGGTTCGTTTCCAAACGTAAGTTTTCAAGCAATTTTTTAGTTTGGGATCGTACATATTACATAATCACAGAGGGGTTAGAATTGGCCAAAAAATGATACTGATAACGTAATATCTGAACGACCCCTTTCCAAGGTTTCATCGTCCGCTTTAATTATACAATGAGGACTGTAGTTTGGCGGATCTTAAGAATAAGTTAAGTTTATTATTATTATTATTATAAAACAGGATCTTACCGACAAAAATGATTTTTTTAAATACCTTAATGCGGTAAACTGTACCCTTGAAAAAGATTTTCCCAACATCTGTTGCATGCAGCTATATCTCTAATTTCGTTCAATTCATACAAGTTGTCCATTTGCAAATTTGATGAAAGCAAAAATTTCTACTATTTATTTTGCAAATTTCTACTATTTAAATCACTTCTTAAAACCGATAACAAGTTCATTCTAGGTCTCCCCAATCTTCCAATGAATAAATTATCTGATTCAATAGCAAATGAGAGAGCCGTTTGGGCTGGGGTGTTCTCCATACTCCTGAGAATGTGTCCAAACATCTTCCACCGCTGGTGTTCAATACGCTTGGATAACTTTTCAACTTTGCACCTTTCATACAATGCTTTGTTGCTTATCATACCTTTAGGCCATTTGATGTTTAAAATGGACCTGAGGTGTCTACGATGGAGTGTGTCCATTTTCTCCATGGTTGCTTTCTTAGGACTCCAACTAGAACTATTTGAGTTGTAAATCAATACAGATACAACTTGAGCATCATATAACCTCAGCTTTCTTTCAAGGGATATTTTCTTACCAGACAGCCAAACTTTTTCAAAGTTCTTAATGACTAGTATAATGACTTTGAATAAACCTTTTTTGTCTCTAAAAAAGGCTCAGAATACTATATTAATTTACCTCATTTTACCTCATTTCACCTCATCCCAATTTTGCCTTTTTTGGCTGCCCTAATGAGGTAAAATGAGGTTGAATGAGTGGTGTCAAAAACGCGAATTAAATAGGTAATAATTATTTTAGTCTCTCGAGTCTTGACACCACTTTAGGGTTAGACGGGTTCCTGCTAGTACTAGGAAAGGACTGGACACTTATGCTTGAAAAGATATCGGTAATACTGATGCATAGTATGAAATACTCTAAGATCGTACACCAATCATGACCAAAATAGTTTATCGATAAAGTAAAGACACTTTAAACAGGAAAGTTTTTAGAAGAGCTTTAAAAGATTCCAGAGATTGAGCTGATGAGATGGTAACAGGAAGACGACTTTACAAGAGTACTACTCCGAGGAAGAGCACTCCAACAATTATGTAGATGATGACAAGCATCCAAAAAGCGAAGTTGTAGACTTTCTTGTTGCACTTCCGATAATAGGCGGTTTCTTTTAAAATAGGAATGAAAATGGGGGTAAATTATACTGGATATTATTAACAAGATCAATTATTGTACATTCAAATAAGCCGTAATAAATAAGATGAACAATATGACCGATTTTTAGTCAAATGATCGAAATAGCATGTTTGTAGGTCTGTTTTTAACTCAAATAATTCACCACTTACCTGCATATATGCCCTTTTTATCATATGTCTGAAGGGCTTGAACAGGCCCAGTCACAGTCTTTATGGTATCGAGTTTATCTTCCCATATTTCGCAATCTTTGTATCTTTCATCATACTTTGTCCCTTCAAAAGCTATTTTGTCATTCAACCATATCCGAACTCTGCTCGATGAAATATAAAAAGTCCAAACATCCTGTATTTTAAAAACATGTATATTATTTATTGACAATTGCCTTGTTTGATTGCACAGCTTTAATGAATAATATGAAATAGCCAAATTCAATTTTGAGGGGGTCCTGCTTGTTCCAGTAGGAGTCATGTTCCCATTGAATGCTCATCAGGTCTGAAGTTAGAGGGGCCCTGGTCACAATACTAAATATTTTGGACTTGAAATGGCCTTCAATAGGGATATCAATAGCGTTGTTATTGTCTGAAAAAGATTTTCGTTAATATCTTTGAAAAAATATATATAAGAGGATCGAGACAGAAACAGGGATTGAAGAAGCCTTGAAAATATAACGTACTTACAGAGTAGAACAGAAGATTTTGCCTTAAAAACCCAGACACTTCCACAAATAAACCAAGCCAAGAGAAAGAGTCCAACTGCCCCATTAAAGATTGCAAGTAGTGTTTCTGAGCAACCTAAAACAAGATCTCACTTAAACTTTCATGTTTGATGGATATGGGTCATTCATGTATTACGTAAATTTACTATGTAATAGTGGAAAACATTCAGTAATGGTTAACTTCCTACCTTTAGTAGGGATCCAAAGTTGCTGCCATATCAGAGTGAAAACGATGCCATTTACCAACAGAAATAACGGTATCTTATCATCTATATTGCATTCATCTTTATAAATAAATCCCATGATAATCTGTGCTACTGGTAGTCCACAAAAAATAATGTTAACAGCAACTGAAAAACAAATAATCAGTCATAGTTACTGCAAGAAAATTTCAAATATCTCACACTTGGATCAAGGTGAAAGCATCTTCTGGATGGACGCATTTAATACTCAATACACATTAAGACATACTGAAGTAAAAATATAGGCACTCATGACTCACCAATTAGGCATAGGTAGCCACAGAATGTGTCTGGTTCATCATCATCACTGTCATTATTTTGATCTTTATTTTCCTCAGCGTCGTCATTAGCTTCTTCCGATTCGTTTCTATCAACTTCATGATTATTTTTACTTTGGCTTTGTCCTAGGATGGTTTTGCGATGGTCTTTGGGAAGGATTTTGCAGTGTCAAATAGAGAATTGTAAGCTGGAGGTGGTGCATTGAGAGGCTCCTGAATGATGTTGGTTAATATACTACTTGTACTCGTGAATAGAAGTAATTGTAAGCAAGGAAAACAGATTTTTTTAAATAATTAAGATGCTGAAACACATACTTGGTTAGGCTCGTAGTCGTAGAGTGGAGCAGTGGGATGAATTATGGAAGTGTCTTCTTCCCAAGACTGAGAGAATTTCCTTCTTCAGGAAGTACGGAATCTAATTCATAATGGTGAGCCATTTATTTCATCTTCTATGCTAAATAGAATAGTCAAACAATATACAGAGATAATTTAGCTATTCGTATCATTAAATTCAGCTATTCACATGTTAATCGTAGACCAAGACCATCCATCACTCACTCGCCAAATTGCAGTCCCAATCTTTATTGGGACATAGATCTTTTAGAAAACTTACATAATATTATTGCTGCAGCAGATACAAATGCAAATACAAACATCATATTCCCAACCATTTGCACCATTAAATTAATTATATTAGGGAATTCATACTTAATCCTTAACTTTTGCTGTTGTTAACTGATATGATACATTTACTTGATTTTTTATTTAAAATGTGGTCAGAAACGGGATCTCTTCCTGAAGTGTGGAAGTTAGCATCCGTTATTGTAGCGCGATGCACTACTGGGTCGCGCGCGCATCAAATAATGCTTCTCGCAACCACTTCGGTAGATCGGCGAGATGCACCACTGTGCCTCACCGAGCTGCGAAGGATTGACATCGTGAATCAAAGAAAACGGCAGACTATATAGACTAGCTCAAGCTAAGCTAGGTAAACGCGTACGCGTATTACTTTATATTTATTTATAAGTATATGGTTTTATCACGTCGTGACCCCCACGGTCGTTTCACTATAGAGTAGAGTTTAATTTCTACGATACAGGGGAGCCGCGCACTCGTGCGCGGAGGGTCTGGGGTCATACAACATATGACAAGTATATGGTTGACAAACGCTGTAACCCCTTTTGAGCGCGCGCGAAGCGCTCGCGGCCGGCCGGCCGGCCGCAAAAGGGGCACACCATTTAGGGAATTGCACTATTTGGCGGGACCCAGAATATGGCTCCCTATTAAGTGATTTGACCATATTCGGATGTAATTGCTTCAGATGAAGAGAAAGATGACGCGCGCGCGTAACCGAAACATTTTATTGCATAATTGTTAACAAAATTTATTTATTTAACATTTTATCATCAACAATTTCAATAATAATGTTTTTTATTTCTTGTTAACACTTCATTGGAGTATTTTCAAATTTAAGAGGACAAAAAAGTTTTTATTTTTATCAAAAATTGTGTAATTTGTTTCAATTTGTCAATATTTAATCATTCGCGTGCACGAGCGGTATACAACGTGTAGCAAGTATATGGTTGACGTTACGCTGCAACCCCTTTTCGAGCGCGAAGCCGGCCAGCCGAGAGAAGTATATAACGTACGTAGCAAATATATAACGGCGCCTGTCGGGTCATTTATCATTATCAATAATTAATGGACTATATAATATGGACATTGGACGTACATGGACATTGACAACATTTTACGTACATGTGACATGGTCAATTTTTATTTCATCCGTGATTCGTAGGGCCAATTCTGGTCGAAAGAAAATCACGTCCATGTCCAGTGGTACCCGGTACCGGTACTGGTAGTGGGGCGATTTGAGCAGCGACATGATCACATATAGTAATAATTGTCATAATAGTCAGTGTAATAAGCGCCAAGCGCGAGCACAGAACTTTTTTTCTCCGATTTCGATAAATTTGGTACCAAAAGTTGTCTAAAAATGTAAATAAAATAAATCCACCGTGTAGCAATTTTCGCTAAAAATGCTACACGGCGCTTGTTCGCCGCGCGTGCATTTTTCGCGCAAATATTTAGTTTTTGGCCTATAACTTTCACATTTTCAGATATTATCACATAATTATTATGGCATCGTAATCAGCTCATCAAGATAAAACTTTTAGTACTAATATTTTAAGATTTAAAGGAAAATTATTTTCAACATTTTAAAATCTGAACCTTGTGTGAAATTTTGAACAAATTTTTGAAAAATTTGGTGCTTCAAATATTATAATTTTGGTACCAAAAGTTGTGTCTGACTAAGCTTATTACTATCCTGTAAGAATAATTTCAAAATATTCAATATTTTAGGAGTTATAGGCATTTTAAGCAATAAATTACCGATTTTTCGTGTCCTTTGTACACTCTTGCAATGCACAGGAGGCCCACATACTATATGTACTACATATACAGCTCGAAGTTATCGTGCTACACGGTGAATAACTTTTGGTACCAAATTTATCAAAATCAGAGACAAAAAATTCTGTGCCAGCTCATGGCGCTTATTACATAGACTAACATGACCTATCGATAGGTCATGTGATCATGTCGCTGCTCAATCATATCAGGCTGTTGCGGTTGCAGCTATGCCCGGCCTATTAGTAATAGTATAACTATCAATTATGATTCTGCAATCTGCATTATTGATTATATTTATACAGATTAACGTTTCAATTAAATTCTCTGTAGCTCTTCCTATATGCTATAGCTAATGCTATAATAGGGGTGCAATTAGATTTTTACCGTTCTGTGTACATTTGTAAACGCTGATTTCGATTTAAAGGGTAAGTATTTAAAGCTAAAGTTAAGGATTACTTTAAAACCAAAACTGACTCGAATCCTAAAGCAAAACATCTTAAATATCGTTTTACAAACAGCTGTTAGTGTTACGTGCGCGCGTCAGACAAAATTGGTTATTTGCTCATAACTCGTCAAGAAATGATTTTCACGCTGTGTAACTGTAACTGTAATAGATCTTATTCAAATCAGCGTCAAAAATACATTGGTATAGCTTAGCGCGCTTACTTTCACAATCCCACAGCTTACTCATAGAACAAAAATGTATAAGCATGTACACAGAACGGTCAATGGTCAAAATCTTATCGCGCTCCTAGCTGAGCTATAGGTGGAAGCTATATCAGGTGGAAAGAGCTACCAGTAACAATAAGCTGGGTGAAATATAATTGCTAATTAAGCGTATCGATTTCAACTGGATTCCATGTTTTTCCAAGTTCAGCTTTACTGCAGATCATAATACAGCTCCAAGTGGTGACGGTAGTCATTTGATAGTAATAACTGTTTTTTGTTCATTTTCAAACCAATATAAATAAAACACGGTATCAAGTTTTGCAACTAAAACAAATAAATTAAATTACAAATAGCAACACATTTATAAACACATTCCACTGCTTTAGTCTTTGTATACAAAACATAGCTAGCTGCGATAGTATCAAAATTCCAGAATCTATGATCTAACTCTAAGGGAGTCCAACCATAAAATTATCTCAAGTTTCTACAGTTACTAGCACTCTCACCATTTACATCTCAGAACATACTTAACGATCTGTCATTATCAAGCGACAGTTTTCATAGGTAAGATATCAAATCTTAATTGCTAAGAATATCAGAAATGTGTCTACTTTCTAGTTTTAAATAAAATATATCAAATTCAAAGGGTATAACCTAGTCCTATTTGATTTGAAAAACGCCAAATTACAATAATATTGCGTTTTTATTTGCAAAGAATTTAAGTAAATCAAATTATATGGTAAATCTGGCGAATCGACGTAACACTAACACTAGCCTATCAAAAATTGTAAATCTGATTAATGAAATATTAGTGCTAGTATGAAAATGTGTTTATGGTCCACCATTTGTCAATGTTTGCTTTGTGCACTAATAAGCCTCACGGAGGCACGGGTGGAAGTCAAGTTTTAACTCTTAGAAGAGTAAAATATGAAAGGGTAGAAATGGAGCAGTCTAATTGCAATAATGGATAGGGACAGTCACGTTACACCGGTCACACGTCAGAGAGCAGCAGTTCTCAAGTCTACAGTTACAGTCCACAGTCTTAACCTCGAATAATGTGTAATACCCTCTTTTGCAACACAACACGTCGCAGTGCAGGTCGCGTTGTCGTGGGTCCGACGCAATCACACAGCGCCGTCCGACTGTCCCGGCCCAGTTCAGTGCTGGATCTGCTGAGCAGAAGTTGGGGCTCTTCTCGTAGTACAGGAGCTCATCTCGGCGAGGCTCCCGTGGCTCTTTCCGACCAGGAGACGCTACTAACAGACCGTAACCTGACTTCTTGTGGATCACTCGCCGGGCCCCGTGGAACTTGTACTCCAGGTAATCGCCTACCACTGAAAAGGGCGGCATCTTCCTCATGCACGTCTTGGTGGCACACGTGCCGGACATTCCGTGACACCGGCAATCCAGTGTTACTGTGTCTTGGAGGGCCTGAAAACAAAGTCAATCACGATACAGTCTTACTCAGTACGATATCTGGATTCTGGATTATACTTTTCAATGAATATGCAATCCAAGATAAGAGTTATTGTTGTTACATGATTGTTGTTAAGAACCTCACTTATTACTTACTAATTACTCACTAATTTTCTCATTAATAATAACTGACCTGTATGCCAACTTTGTTGTTATGTTGAGCTACCAGCGCTCTGGTGTCGATATTTCGTCTCCTCCTACTGTAAGTTTTCTGGGACTCCATGACTATGTTAGAAGCTACTTCAACATTGTCATCACATCCTGACATGTGCCACGAGCTCCCTGAAATGATATGTTGTTAGTTTTATGATGAGTGTTAGATTTGACAGTCGTGAAGAAATAAAATTTACGAGATTCCTGAGGACCCTTCAATCTTAGCAAACTTAATAGAAACAGAAAAAACAGACAGACAGACCGACCGACCGACCGACCGACCGACCGACAGACAGACCGACAGACCGACCGACCGACCGAACGACCGACCGACAGACAGACAGACAGACAGACACCCAGACAGACAGACAGACAGACAGACAGACAGACAGACAGACAGACAGACAGACAGACAGACAGACAGACAGACAGACAGACAGACAGACAGACAGACAGACAGACAGACAGACAGACAGACAGACAGACAGACAGACAGACAGACAGACAGACAGACAGACAGACAGACAGACAGACAGACAGACAGACGGACGGACGGACGGACGGACGGACGGACGGACGGACGGACGGACGGACGGACGGACGGACGGAACGAAAGACATTCAGACAGACAGAAGGACAAACCGTTCGTATAGTGGAAGGATGTAGCGTTGGCGGTGATGTTGGAGTTGAAAAAGTCTCCGCCTTGACAGAAACACTCTGGAAACTCGCCCTGTCCGCACGCGTTAGTCAACATGTACGTAATACCGGCGGAAACTATGGCGTATGAAAACGCCGACTCTCGGAAACCTGTTCATTTTATAAATATAAATTCAAAAAGTCACCAATTGGACATTAGACAAGTATTATTTAGTCTGAAAGTCTCTTTTTGGCGAATAGAAGTAGAAACTATTGATCGTGAAACACAATACTCATGAATGGAGGTTCACTAATTACTGAAATATTTCTGTGCACAGTGGAGCACTAAACCGTACCTCGTTCTAGAAGCTTCATGAAAGGTCTGTTGTCTATAGAAGTGCAGTTCCATCTATTGTATCGGAACTGGGTCTGGCATTCCTCCTGGGCCTGGGAAATAGAGGTATTAGAGCTTTTCATCCAAACAAGTAAAAACGAATCTTTTATGTCATGTTTCCAGTATGTTACAGTTCATAATGACAAATTATGATTTAAAAACTTAATCCGATTTTACGTTCGATTGAGAAGAATAGCATAGTAAAACTCCCACCTCTTCAAGCCCTCACACTGACACCCCCCCCCCCCCCCCTCACGCCCCAAACCCCGACCCCAAAACCCCACACTTACCCTTCTGATGCCATCCTGGACGTATCTCATGAGGTTAGGATACCGCCGACACAGAGAGAGATGATGGGCAGACAGCCCCGGTAACTTGTCGCACGAAAAGGACGCGGAATCGGTAAAGCTAGTGTTACTGACAGCCCTGAAATGGAAACTCGTTAAAATAGTGTTGTACTGATCGTACCCTAAAATGGGATACTGTAGTTGAAAATGTCACATAACATATTCTAAGTTGAAGTATGGTCAGTCCGAGTCTGAAACGTCATCCTCTCCGGAAAATCAGTCCAAACTGGTGGTTTAAAAAATTAACGGTCACTGAAGCTGACTAATAAGTGTTTTACAAGTTACAAGTTACGAATCGTTTGCCACATTACGTATACGACTAAATGGATAAGCAGGTTGGCGTCATCTTCTGATGTCACATTAGTTGTTACAACATGATAACTTAGATATTGTCACATTAGTTGTTACAACATGATAACTTAGCTGTTACATTAGTTGTTACAACATGATTACTTAGCTGTTACATTAGTTGTTACAACATGATTACTTAGCTGTTACATTAGTTGTTACAACATGATAACTTAGATGTTACATTAGTTGTTACAACATGATAACTTAGATGTTACATTAGTTGTTACAACATGATTACTTAGCTGTTACATTAGTTGTTACAACATGATAACTTAGATGTTACATTAGTTGTTACAACATGATTACTTAGATGTTACATTAGATGACGGGTAATGAGGGTGAAGAAGTAAAACTGACTCTACTTTACAAAGAGTTGTGCCATGACAAACACAAACCCAGCAAAAAACATGAAGATAAAACCCAGGTTCACACATATTAGTTGTCACACATATCACACAATCCGACTCACAGTGCCAAGATAACGCAACCAAAATCTGCTGGGTGGTATGTCCTAAAACATTCAGTATAAGATCGTAAGTTCTTTAAAAATCATAAAACCATCTTGTTTCGAAATGAATACCTAAGTTCTTGAAGAATAATCACGCATTCTTATTCAGTTTCATTTTCAAAACCTTAGTTTTCGGAAATTAAAAACACATTCAGAATTGAAAGGTCGGTTTTCGAAAAATAACCAACAATTTTTATACAAAATCAAAATATTAGTCCTCGAAAATTAAATCATTATTGAAAATTAAAACAATGGTTTTCTCTTATCCTCAAAAGGAATTAAACGTGGTTTTCTTCAAAGTCGTGATAAAGTTGTCTAAAGTCCGTTAAGTTTTCAAAAGTCATTGTCTTGTTGATTGGACTCATTATATTACCCGTCATTGTGCTGTCATTATGCATAATTTAAGAGATTTGCTTTAAAGAATTGATGATTTTTATTGCATAATTGATATCTTGTACTGGACAGTGACAAGATCGGAATGGATATCTAAACTTTGTACCAAGTCTCTGAACGGGACAATAATGACGTGCAGGGGCTGGGCACGTAATCACCAACAACATTCATCTTATTTCGCTAATGAGTTATTGTCAATGTTTTTTGGAGATTTGTAAAAAAATTTACAAGAAAGTACTGTTCTCATAAAGATAGGCATCATTAAATAGTTAAACGAATCGACACGGGATATAACTCGAAATTATTTTTGAACTAGTTAAGGGAAGGATAATAATCTAGAAATTTATCACGGCAAGGATAACAGTCTGAGTATGGGTGGTTGTTTTGGAAATGCGTTTCTAACTAATTCTCGAATTAGAACGTTGTTATCGAAAACACGTGCCCAGACGCCCCAAATTGAGGAATTTGTAGATCATCAATCATCACGCATATTGCATACCATAAATAACACAAAATCTGTTGATAAGTACCCTAGAGTAGTCGGTCGTTAGGGAGAATCGATATTAAACTTTATGAATGACGAGGGATAAGTGCGTACTTAGCATCTTATTACAACTGCTTCCCTTTCTATCAGTAAAACCAACGCGGCTCGATTTAGAGGAAGAAATGAATTCAACTCTGTATTTTGGCATTAAATCTTTAATATTCGCATTACATTTGAATCTATATTAGAGAGCGAATAAATGCTTAGTCGAGTTGATTCTCCACCCGCTAAAATACCCAAAATTACCGTCTACGATGTTTGAGGGTGGCTGGAGAAATAAGTTGTCTCGTATATTTGTCACGTCAGGCCTGTCAAACGATCCATAAAACTAGATCATGAACTGGAATAATCGTATCTAAGAGGATTGCTTGGGCTTCTTGTTCATATGATCACACCAACTAGGAGACTATCGGGGCTGGGTTTTTACACGGATGTGATTTAGACTTAGAGACAATAAACAATTCCCGGAATCGTTTGATTAATGTCGACAAATTATGTGAGAGTCGGGCGACAAATTTAACCAGATATAGCAGCAGATTGTATTGAAAGAGTTGTAGACTTACAAATCTGTTGTTTCGAGTAAAATAGTTCAGTTCATATGAAGTATTTGCTTATTTGGGCTCCTTGAAATTGAGGAAATTGATCTGCACAAAATGTGCTGGCAGATGGGCGTTAGTTCGGAATATTGCCTGAGGGTGAAAATTAGAAAGTAAATTTGTTACCAGGATACTGTTATTTCACACATTCCATGGTAACTACCACTAAAATACGTATGTTGGTATGACAACCTGTGTACCGGATACTGCTTACTTTCGGTACCGAGGTAAATCCGTTAATTAACGTCAGTATTACGCCTAAATTATTGATATTAATTATCAAGGGCAAGTGAGCTGCACTTTAAGATTATATGCACATTTTTTCAGCCACATTATGGCCCCAAGATACCACTGTAAGAGCCTAAAAGCTGTGTTGTGATGGATGATGTAGGGATACAGCGAGGCTAAGGTAGCTTTAACAGTTTAACTCCTAACCAAGGACCTGAACTTCAAAGAGACCCGAAACATTTCGAAATGATTATCAAATTGAAAATTGAATAATACCAATAGTGATTAATTAATGTTGGTGGTGATTAGATTTATTGATTACTATATTTCCTAAACGCTGTGTTATGTAGAACAGGCCGGCGGTCAGGAACCTTGAGATAGTTTCAATCTGTCAGGAGATGTCCGTAAATCGTTTACAATCCCTACTTTGCTAATGTTGTTCGTAGTTTCAGTGGAAGTGTAGAAGTCTGTGAAATTATGGAGCTGCGCAAATTATTGAAATTTGACGTGACAAATTGAACCTCTCGAATTTGTCTCATGTCTGTCACAAGTAATTTTATTGATTGCCTCAGTTGCTATTTATTCTACGATGAAGTCATGAAATCATATGCATGACTACCATTCCAAATTTAAATTAAGAAATTTAAGATCAGACTTTAAAAAGTCCCATTAATTAAACTAGTGTAATTTAGTGAGATGGTCTGTAAAGAAGAAACTACTTACGCTAGAAAGTGAGAATCAATCTCTGTAATGAAGGACGCACTCAGTACAAAACAAAAAATTAACAAAAGGTTCATCATCCAAAAACTGGGAGACATATATGGCTAGAGATGAGGCTGGATAATCGATTTGTCGAGATGCTCTATGAACGATGTACTCAGTCAAAAGTGAGTATCACGTGATTAGTAAGCTGGGCTGTGATAGGTGGATGTTCTCGTCACTGAGAGATGTTTTAACCGGCTATTGGTGGCCTTTGGAAGGTCGGCTAGTCTGGGGTATATGACTATATCGAGTTATTCTCCTACGAAGTTGAAACAGTGTCACATAAAATCAATTAGGTAAAATATGAGGGTGCAAGTGATAGTGTTGCGAGTGTGTCACAGTATATATAGTGGTATGGGTTGGTGACCGCCTCGCCCCTTTATTAGCTCACTCTCAAGCTGGGGAGGAGGGAGGCCGCGCGGACTGCACTTAAACTAGACAGGACCTCTTAACATGCCCTCCCAATCCGACTGAGGGTCTCTAGCTAGCCTGGTGAACTGCCGCCTCAGTGACACCTAGAACACTTATCTCCCCCAGTTTTAATCAACTAAATCTAGCTGCACGGTTTAGTGTCACCCCGGATGGATGCAGGGTCCCTGGTTACATTAGTCAATAAGTGATCAGGCTCAATCAACCCCCTGACCGGCTAGTGAGAGAGTCGAGCGATCTTTATCAGTTGTAATTGACCACGACACAGCGTCCATTTGTCATTCCTCGTGTTCCACCCATCTCAAGGTCGTAACAGTGTAGCAGGATGCATTTCAAGGAAACAAACTGACTCTGGTGAGAGGTTACTGTGTCGGTGCGGTTATTTGTGAGGGGGAAGTGACTTGAGGAGTGGAGTTGTGGGACTAACACTCTGCACACTTCACTCGTGTGTTACAGACTCCCCCTACAGTCATTAGTGGGGTGAAGGGGGCGAACCAGGGACTCCAGCACATGATTCCAATTAACATCACCAATTGAAACTCTTAGATTTTAGATTTCCTGGCGCTGGGACGTGACTGAGAGGCACAGAGTTACTCAGAGAGCTCTGAACTAGAGTACCTCCCAATACCACCTTGTGAAATGTTTCGTCTACCCACTAAATGACCAGGAATTCGGACATTTTCAGACCTTTAATTGAGAGGTCTGTTTCTTAGTTTCGCCATTTTTATTTTTTACACGTCCTTGTTTATTTTTACGTCAAATAAAGTTGCAACTTGCAAACCTAACTCCATTAATAATAACTTAATTAAATTTCCAACAAATATGCCTATCAATAGCATACCTAAAAAAGATCAATATGTTACAAATAATATCCTGTCGGAGTAAGGACAGTATTACTGAGTATCTGAGAACTATTAGAAGAAACTTACCATGGGATGATTTGGAGTAAAAGAGCAATAAAAATAAGCTGGAAAAGGATTGATACGCGTGTCGGATACAGTTTGGATGCATCAACCAACAAGACAGCCGGTAGAAATGACGGTTTGGATTTGTTGTTATAGGGGGAAGTAGTAAGAAAATGTACGGTTGAATGACACTGTGCTAACATATCAAACAAGCCAACACGTGGACCCTCCAGTTGCAATCCGTGAAACGCGGGCTAATTCCCAATTTAGAGCTTTTAGACAGCATTTTATTGGGTATTTTATGTAGTGGAATTTGAATGGAGCATACAGAATCACATTGTTACAGTTCATCCTGTTATAGTTTATCTGAATTAGTTTAGTTACAAAATTTACAAAATTTTAACGACTGGCTATGTGCGGTGAGGTGTATTGGTCAAAAGACCGATTTTCTTAAACAAATTTGTAGATTTTAGTTCAATAATCCATGTAGTATCCTATCAAACCTACTACGTAAAGGACACTTATTGGTAAAAGGCATTATAATTATCGTATTTTAAATAGATACCCGGGTTAAAAACAACTTTCACAAAGATTAAGAAAACCATCGTTTAACTTCCTGCGGTTGCAATGGAACCAAGCTAACAGTAACATTAAACAGCTGTAGAAAGTAGAACTCATACAGTCTCCAATCAAATATGATGGATTATATTCCCGTCTCAAAGCTCCTCAAAATTTCAACCGGGCAAACAGAAAGTAAAAACGATTTCATGATTATTCTTCTTTTTTTGCCGCAAGACGATCAAAATACAGAAGTTTGGACGAGGAAGCAAATCCACCGGTCATGCTGTTTTTTAAAACGTGGTCGTTAAGTTATCAATAAGTTATCAGTAAATTTATCGGCGGCTTTAAAGACATGAATGAAACTATAATCAAGATAACGATGACAACGATAAAAATGGTGATAATCAAGATGAGTAAAACTGACCTGTAAACAGAAGCGGGCTGGACGAGGAGGAGGAACACAAAATAAAGAAGGAAAGGAGGAGGAGAAAACTCCATCTACATGATCAATCTGGCTCTGTAATCGCATACAGCTGCTCTAAAAGTCATGTGTTATCGGGGAACTAATCTCTCCTGATAGGGTCGAGTGATTTGCCGTGCTCTAATGGGACCACCTGATTGGGTAGCCGGATGTCACGTGGGCGAATTGCTTGCTTCTGATTGGCTGTTTGTACACACATTGTCACGTATATCAGGTCAATACCGTAAGCTTGAGAGGCACCTTTCCGTGCCAATTTGCCAGATAGAAGTTAATTGTTAAATGAGAACAGGACAATTAAAGAGGGGCTATTGTTTCTGAGGGTGGTAATGGGCTAACGTGAAAAATACCCCAACATAGCTTCCTAGTGGAGCGCCACCCAATCAAATAAGACTATTTAGAAGATGAGCCAATCAGGGAGCTGTAATCCACCAACGTGACAAGTAATAAGGTGTGAAACAAGGCAGACTAGATCCCCTGAGACCGTGTGAAGTCCCAACTGTTTCAAAACACAAATCAGGTTCACAACACTCACACATTAACTTCACACACAAAAGATACGCTGTAACAAAGTAATTCCAACTAAAAACGAAGTGGGGATGTCAGGGAATTGGTTTGATTACGAAGTGTAATTTGAAGGGGGGACTCACTCCGGTGACAACTCACCCAGTTCCTCATTAGATTTGCAGCATAGCCTCACTTAAACAGAAGTGGTCTGGCACCAACAGTCCCCCACCTCCCTCCGAACAACCTATCTCTCCTCTCATTGGCTCGGTGTTGGGTTTCCAGCAATCTCATTGGCTCCCAACTTTAACTTTTTGGCTCGTCCTGTGAAAGATTAATGCATAATTTATAATTTCATAGTGCAACTATAAAACTTACAACAGGTTGGTGATGATTGAAAATCGTCGTGAATTTGATAAGTTGGGGAGTCACGCTATTTCTAAGGCATTGGAGGTCAACCGATGCAATTCGTGTGTCTCTTGGACTACAGGAGACAGTTGATAAACATAATTTTCTTAAAGAGCTATCAGGCCGCTCTTTTACCAGGATTAATCGCTCTCTAGGTCAAAGAGACATCCGAGACAACTGACAAGTTGAACTCCTGCTATTTCAGTTAAGTGAATACCTACAAAGCTACAATGACAAAAGTACAGTCATAGTAGTCTGGTAATCATTGTATCATATTTAGTGAAACTGATCCAAACAGTCTGGATAATGATTGTATTCCTGTCATGAGCGCAGCTTTAAACCCGCCTGGATAGTACAGTGCAGTCAGCAGTGTGTGTTTACCATGTTTATATATAGTGCGATATAATTGGAACTGATTACAATACAACCCACGTGTAGTTAGAACATGCTCACATTCTGCCTGCAACCATTGTCTACTCGCTCAGTATCACTGTTATAATCTTTGCGATGTTTGGTTTAGGTGGGGTTATCAGTAACCCGTCGCTCGCGTCCCGGGCCCCCGGTATAGGGGCCCCGGCCATGACGAACTCGTCCGCGTTCATGAGCAAGAAAAACATTGTCCCCAGGAGCAGTAAGTATGAGGAATTGTTGCCTGGAAAATGTGAACCGGGGATCTTTACACGGAAACGAGGCATGTTGTGTTGTAGCACCTTCGTGAAGCACCTAATAGCACCTTTTTGTAGCACATCATACTCATAGCATCTTTATAATACTCAGATTCAATATTTAATTAGTGCGGATTCGCACTATCGGCCGTTTGCTGCAAATATTCGGGCTATCAGTCGGTTTATGCATTTTTTGCACAGTTCCGAACTTTCAGACTTCCACAATCTTGGGTATACAAACTAATTCCCCATCTTATTTTGGTACTGACTACTAGTACTACTGCAGTGTCAGTTAACGATCCTTTTGAATTACTATTTCTTGCTCCCAAATTACAATCGCTGTAAATTATACATATATATATTAAAGTCACTATTGTGAAGTAATGATAGATGCGATCACGACATATATATATATATATTTTGTTGCTGTACTCCTACACATTAAAAGTCGGTGTTGATTAGATCTTCGAAATAGTTCTTTGCATCATTTTATTAAACATCGTTATCTGAGATAAAATTGTTCTAAAAGCAACTGGAATATACACAAATCTTTAAAATAACTTACAAACTAGGAAAGGAAAACAAGTATTAGGAAGACGTACAAAACTATGTGACTCAAAACGGTACAAAACTAAAAAATACTGGGTAATAATCAAACGAAAAGAATGGCTGAGTATGTACTCTACATCTTATCTAATCTATTAAAGATTAGTTTCTCGGAAAAAGCTAGATTTCTCTGAATCAAGCAGTAAAAATATTAAAATAGTGATGAATATAACACGTCTCTGATAGCAATATTGTAAACTAAACACGGGTTTATAGGCTAAGATCATGTTAAATAAAATAAATAAACTAAACACTAAGCTCCAGCGGATTTAAAAAGGATGTGGTTACTATCGAGGGTGTTCATACCCCCATAACGCTCAAGGGTTTTCAATTGGGTCTGGTAGAACCCCTCTCTAGCTTCCATGGCCTTTTCCCTATCTGCTTTACTTATTTCAGGTTTAAATTCTAGAGCGTCCACTATAATAACAGAAAGGTGCGTACTAAGTGAAGAGTTATATAAGGCTACTGAACTAAAATCTAAATCATGATCAATATCTAAAAAGTGATTTACTAACTTACAACTCCTGATACCTTTCTTAATGTGGCTCTTATGATTAGAAAATCTCTTAGGGAGATTAGAAGTAGTATATCCTACATACGACTGTTTACAAGTTCTACACTCCATTAAATAAATAAGGTTATTACTCTGACAAGTTATATATTTAGTAATAGGGAAAACTTGTTTGGAATGGTGACTACTAAATTTGGAACAAGGGGACAGGAAACTTTGCTTACAAACATAGCATTTTCCACAGGCATGGCACCCTGCGTTGTCAGCCTCCCGAACAGCCGGCAATATTGCAGCGTCTGGTTCAAGAAATTGACTGGCAGTGGCTCCTCCATCTCTATCACTGCTTACAGTTCCACTAGCACGATACCTATTGTATATATATATATATGTCGTGATCGCATCTATCATTACTTCACAATAGTGACTTTAATATATAATCCTAATATGTGTACTAAAACCATTTAGCCAGCCCCTAAGAAATCTAACGAATCAGCAAAACAAGGAGATATTTCTGCCACTTAGAAAGCACTATGTCACTATGTATGTGACACTATGTAGTATGTGTTTGCCGCACTAATATCATGTCGACCCTGTTTTTAGTCTGTTTACATTACTCTGTCGCGAGTCTCTGTTTATACAGGTCTGGACACTGGCGGGGGAACTTGTTTTGACACGTAATAGACATTAATTAGCTTCCAGGAGTGATTTACTATCCCGAGTGATTGACTGTCAGGTGTCTAAAGAGGTTTACTTTTCCACCAATAATTATCGAGATACCTCAAACAGTTTTAGCGTTGCTGCGGCGCATCATTTAATACTAATGGGACCGGCATAAAAACTGCTGAGCTATCTTTTTCCTGTTTGAAAGTTTACTGGAGAAGTGATTAAGTGATTTCGTCCCCTTCTATTTTAATTGTTTACCCAATATTTCACTAAACCTCAAAACGTAGCATTCTTTGATTAGTACTTCCCGAGCCCGGAAGGCTACTTAATTCAAATCGTTACACAATCTGAGACATGATGAAGAGATGAAGGTGGGTAATCGGACGAATTCCCTTTTGTTGAAGCCCCATTAAACGGACTTGGGATAATAATAGATAGTAGATAATGAATAAGTTGTATGTTTTGCAGATGACGATCGCAGGTCGCGAGTCAGCGTCGTTTCAAGACCTATAAGCATCACGACGCGGGATTGTAGTCGGGACAGAGTAGCAAACAATTACGTGCACATCATCGTGTCAGGACACAAATTTACCACTTTTAAGGTAAACGCAACCACAAGTTTATCACTTTTATGGTTAACACAACCACAACTTTGCCAATCTTAAGGTAAACACATCCACAAATTTACCACTCTCAATTATTGATGATAGTTAAAGGTTTCCATACACATCTTCTCATTACATTTACATCGGGTAACTGTTCACGGTGGTCGGTTATACATCTAGCATCAAATCTTTAAAAACTATCCAATATCCATATAAACATGATTATATGCTCTAGTGCGGGTTATTAATAAAGATGATTAACACTACTCATCCTATCTAGGATACACTGCGCAGGTTCCCAGAATCCAGACTAGGGGACGAGGGGGAAAGGGAAATGTACTATGACAGGTTGAGGAAAGCTTACGTCTTCCACAAGTTAGTTAGTGTGTATTCTTTTTAACGGCAAGTCAACGTTAACATGGTATGGCCGATAGTTAGGATCGACCATTATATTGAACGAAATGGTCGACATTTTGTGAAACAATTAATCTTTTTTGGGATTCCGTTGGTCCAACGGCGTTGGAATTTCCTTCAAATTTACACCTGTCTGAAAACAGTAGAACTTCTTGTTCTCAGCCCAAACATAAAGCAGCTGATTAGTATGACTGGAATATTAGTTTTTGTTTTGTAAACAAGGAACCAAAGAAAATTGTCATATTTCTCAAGAAAAGGTACAATTAAGACATCTTCAGACAAGAAAAGAACTTTATAAATATCCAGTTATCGTAGTCCTCACTCTGACAGCCCATAAAGTTTTACATTCACAAAACAAAAAATCAAAATCAAAATTAAATAAACGTAGATCAGCTTAAAGTACATTACAAATACTATGCATATTGCATATAATAAAGATATTTCATGTTATACGGTAAAAACAAACTGTAGTTCACCAACCTAAAGTTAAAATTTCATGAGTTCGATTCTCATTTCAAAACACATTAAATATATTCAATATTCATACGGATCAGTCCAGGATGAGATGAAGAGTCCTTGTAACAGTGATCGTTGCTTTTGTACTGTCTTGTACAGTTCATCATGGTTATAGAAAGCCATACTCTTAGAACAGGGAACTTTGACGAAATCCTTATCTTGTAAACAGACCTCCGGATGTATCACAACTTCTGAAATGGACAGAGTCACCTCGTTCATGAGCTGGATGTGCTCCTTCGCAAAGTTACCTGCCATCACATAGCAACGTATAGTCTCCAAAGTCCTAATCAACTCCACGCCGTACTCCCTCTTCGTCATCAGAGATCCTATCTGCAAACAGATGTCTTTCTTAACGTCGTATTTATCCGTAACCAGCGTCTCAACCTTCCCAGTATCTATCCAGGCAGCTATCAGGGAGTTGTTTAAGGACCGGAAAGTCTCTGGACAATAGGCAGGTTGTTCTTCAAAGGTGTTTAAGTTCTGTAATACAGGAGAAGTGTAGCAATGTAAAAACAGTATTAAACCGCTCACGGAACGTAGAGGGATGGACATGGCTAATTAAGGAGAATTAATGAGGAAATACAGATACTGAAGTTGAGGGGATCACTGAGTTATTATTGAGCTGGAAGAACCCTTTTTATACTAGATCTCGGGTACTAATAACAAGCAGTGTTGTTTAACTTTATACCGTTTGTTTTATACTTTAAATTTAAAAAGTACTAAAGACTTGAGTAACATCTGACTGGAGTAGCACGTGTCTCAAGTCTCGTGACCAGGGTAACACGTGACCAGGGTAACACGTGTCCAGGGTAACACGTGACCAGGGTAACACGTGTCACATGGGCACTGATAAGCTTTAGATAATGGCAATTAAATTTTAACAAGGCTCTTGGACACTTTTCAGTTGTTAATAATAAGAGCTAAAATAGATCGGAAAACAATAAACAATCTGTTGGCAGCTGTCTATGATTCAACAAAAATTTGGGAGTAAACATAATATGATGCAATTTCGTTGTATTGGTCGTATGTAGGATTCTGTCCAAACTTTAACAAATTCATGATATTTAACTCATTGATCAGGTTTTTTTAAAGTAAATGATGATCCAAATTTTAAAATCCAATAATATGAAAATTAAACATTTTAAAAACAAGTTTTTTGTCGAAAGCCGTGATGCCCTCTCATATACAATGTTAAAAACTCACGCTCGTTCTTACGAGATCTATGGAATTGTAAAAAGAAAAGCCTCCAAGTTTCTCCGGCAGAAAGCCTTTCTGGTCATTAGTTTTAAAATAAGCGCCGATCATATCCGATATATTGGGTATAGTATAAACTTACGAGATTTATTCAAAATGTTGTCCGGTCAAGTGCTAACCAAATGAAAACCAGCTAACGACTCAAATTATGGGCATTAAAATAAAACCAAATTACCCCCCCCCCCCCCTGGCCGCACCCCACCCCACCCCACACTTGCACTCTTCTTGGGGTTCAGTTCTCGTTTCAGAGTTAACTACGTCGACTGACCACTCTTCAATTCCAGTCGATGTAGACAGAGTTTCGAGTCCATTCTCTACTTTTACCAAAGTAACGGTCACCTGGTCCAGCCAGTGAACGTCGGTCAGGAGGTCTTTATGAAGGAGGTCATGTTCTTCAAACTACCTATCCACGATGATCTGGACAATGCTGCTATTGACTTGGGTTATGATACCGTCCAAAACCTCAGCGCTGTTCCCAGGGTAAGATCATTTCACGTTTATTTTATTTTTTTAATTATTTTTAACTTTTCTGGATCAGTGACTATTTCCTGAATTCGTACATTTTTATTATTTAAAACTACTGCAGTACTGCGAGAGACCAAACGGTGCTCACAATGGCAGTACTTAAAGTTACTCCTGCGTAACAGTGTTCAAGTACAGCGTACCCACACTAATTGTCCTCACACACTATGCAATGTATCGTAGATCTTATCTACATTATTTAATGTCTAGTAATTAGTGCATAGAAATACTGTAGATAAGATCTATACACAGTCGATAAGTTCTGGACTGTTCCGTTTAAGAATGTTTAATGAAAATAAAGCGGGCACTATGTCGGCGTATTGGTGTGAACCGTGTGGATCTAAGTTGACTCTGACTCCACCAGGCACGGCACACAGATCCATGCTCTCTTACAGCTTGCACTGTCTTGTTGGACTTTAGCCGTGTCTTTTAGCCGGTCCACCACTCGGCCACTTCTCCAGTCCCTGATGTATCTGGTACAGCGAGAGGTTTTACTGTACCTGGTGCTAGGGGAGCTAGAGCAGGAAATCGCGAAATCTAGAGTAGCACCTAATGACTGGTTCCCACTTCTGTCGGATTACATCATTAATTTGCTTCGCCAATCATCTAATCACGGTGTCGTCATATTCGTAACCGTCGCCCACTGATTCAGAAGGGAAACATTTTAACTAAAACATGGCTCAGTTGCAGACACTCTTGTTTACTACGTAATCTCTCTTCTCAGAAGCTACAGAAGCTGATGGAAGAGGAGAGAAGCCTGTGTATGAAGGTCCTGGCAGTGTTCGACAACCTTACCACCCTTGTCTACGTCTTTACCCAACTTATTATCACTGTCCCCCACTTTCACAGGAGCAAATCTCACCACATTAAAGTGGTAAGTTAACAACTTTCACAAGTAACACTAATTTGTGTCGCAAACATTGATGCCGCGAGGATACCCGAGGATTGACCACTTTAGAAAATCGCGAAAAATGAATGTCCGCGAAAATATTTGGTTTTACAGTACTAACGTAGTTCCACCTCCGACAATATAGTTACGACTAGTATATTTAAACTATTTTCACAACTACAATTGAATACGTTTATTGAGTATTGTGTTATGGGATGGATGTGCTTTAACCAGGAGTAGCCAGTCCAGACCCTGGTTCCATAATATGAAGGACGAATAGAAATACCTCTAATTAACTAAAACCCTTGTTTCAAGTTGCAAAGTGTGGTGTTCTGGGTAGAACTGAGCTGTATCGTGTGGTTTGTTCTCCTCTACACCCTCAGACTCTTTATGTCCAAAAACAGGAAGGCTTTCGTCGCTAAGTGAGTTATTACCATGACTCTTGGGTAAAATTAATTTGTATATTGTGTCAGACATTACCATTGTAATTTGACTTTTGGACCGTTTACAAGGCTTTACAAGTAACCAGTATAATTAGTATTAGAATCAAATCAACAGCAACTTTAGGAAATACAGACTGTGTTATGTGCATACATGATTAATAATGCATGTAATATATACATGTATTTGGAATGGTACTCACTTTTTCCGATTAGCCAATCCAAATCTAAACAGAATCTGGAGAATCTGTGACTACTTATTCTTAACATCTTCCTGAAGCTGAAATAAAATAAATCAGAATCTTTTGCTAAATAACTTAACAGTAAACACATATTTCTACCTGTCATAAGGTGCTTTAACTAAACTCCCCACCCCAGGTTCCTGAACATGATAGACGTGTTGGTAGTTGTCTCATACCTGATAAACCAAGCACGTTCCAACAAAGACCACTGTGTCACCAGGAGGAAAGATGACGATTTTAAGCTGTGTATATTCATGTCAGCTGTCGTCACCATGGTGTCCTTGCTTAGACTCTTCAGCTTCGCTCGGTACTCTGAACTGCTTTATTGCTTAGGTAGGGGAACACCTCATTCCCGCAAATACTGTACTGTAATTTGTGTTTTTAATTTGAAGTTAAATTTAGTCAAGAGCGCGCATTTGCGTGTCGATCGCTTTATAAAAGATTTTCTAGATGGTGCAACACCAAAATTAGGGTAACAAAAAATCTATCCAACCTAAACATCCACATATCTAAGCTATAAAAATAGATGCATATCTGAAACGAACAGCATCAAACATAAAACAACGTCAAAAATAACACGACATGTTATTTACATTATAGTTATACACCAACCTCTCCAGCTTGAAATCTGTGTAATTACTCCGCATAACCGTCTCCTCCACAGGGATTGCGCTAAAACGTTCGTTCGCCGATCTGGCCCAGGTTCTGCTAATGATTGTCCTGCTGACTTACATGTTCGCTTGTCTCGCCTACTTCTTGGAGACCGATGAGACCGATGGCCCACAAACTTTCAAAAGTGTATTTGACGCTCTTTATTGGGGTATATTATTATTAATTATCAGTAAATTGTATAAGTAACGCTTAGTCATCTTATCTACAATAATTTCCTTGTAGTTGTACGTCTTGTATTCAAGTGAGATAAATAAATACTTGCAAGATCGGTACAATTATTTCTTAAGATTGAATAGTACAGACAAATCCGTCTGAAAAAATCGATCTGCTGACACACGAAGCTTTCAGAGGATTTTTGACGTTTTTGAGTCCCATTAGGTGCCCTTTATGGCTGACCAACTTTTCCAAACTTTTCCACTTGTCTTAAGGCCACTTTTTGCCACTTTACCACTTTTTACCACCTTTCTTGTTTGTCGAATATCTTTAGTTGTGAACATCGTAAAAGGTTGCGGATCAATCAAGTGTGTTCATATTATCAGGAAGAAAAACTTTTGTGCAAACAATTTTTACGTCAGATAATAAGTTAATTGGATAATTATCAATTAACTAATTAGCAAAATTCTAAAAATTTTTTATTGGCTTAAAATGATCGGAATAGCTTGAAACACGGCGAAAAGTATTTTTTAGAAAAACTTTGAAAATTTTTCACTTACATTTTTTTTTCGAGAGAAAAAAATTCGAAAATTCAAAATATTTTTTCCGCCAAATGTGATCAAACCGCATGAAACACGGAGAAAAATGCCTTTCAAAAAAACTTAGTGAATTTTTCGTTTCAAGAATACCTAAATCGCCAATATTTGTAGTTGGAGTTCAGTAAATCTCGGCAGATTTTAGTAATCAGGAATTACTAAGTGAAGAGGTCTGAAACTGAAAAACGTTAACCATACGATCGCGCGGCGATATAAGAGTTTCATAAACTAATTTTCACAGAAACTGCACCAATGGCACAGTCAAGATCGAAACGATAGCCTGCTGTACTGTCATTTTATTGATTTCAATGATGAATCAGTGGGGTTAAGATAATCACATTTGTAATAAATAAACATCTCTGTACCGTCAATTGTGCTAATCTAAACCAGCCTACCTGTATTACCAGACCTCTTCTTTTCCTCGACAATCAAACCAAGTTGTTCATATCGCATTTGGTGGGTGATGTAAGTAGTAATGCGCTTAGTCAATAAAGACACCGTGATTTTTATTAAAAGGAGATGATGAAGCAAGTATTCATAACACAAAGAAGAATGGTCGGTGGGAATTGGGACCCACTTAAATCACCTTAACACAGTGCCCTCAGTAATCCATCCTGTCATTAAAATTATTTGTTATATAGTATAGTGTTGAAAGTATTGAAACTAATACATATCGAGCTGTATTCAATCAGACTACGACACAATACGTGTATATTATATGGCTCTTAATGACTAATGAGGTTTATGTAACGCTTTATACCGTGAGAAACCCGGTATAGAGACGTTTTAAAGTTTATCACGAAAACGTATACTTGGCTTCATGGCTCATTTACAGTTCGAAGAAGGCAAGAACAGATCAGGGAAACTAAGGAACAGCCAGGTCCAGGAAGCAAGTGTAAATACACCTTCCAACATCAACTGTGACTTGTTTTGTATTGTTCTGCATACCGCTTCATTTACTATGCTGGATCGGTGGTTACCTCAAATCACCCCCATATGTCAGGGTCGGCTAAACGTAAAATCAGCAAGGGTAACATACTGGCAAGGGTAAGATGTAGATACGAATGACGGGCAAGGGGTAATAAAAAACCAGTAATAATTAATTCAGTGAAATGTTCCACGAGAGTCAGGATATTTTGGAAATTGCTAATAGAGACAGATCCTGATCAGGAAGGATTGTTAATGTTATTGAGGGTGTTGATTTGAAATCCGGACGTCGTGAGGTAAAAATACAGGTTCTTCCCGTAGGATATTCGGGGCCATGATGATCAGCTCAGGATTAATGTGGAGTTGAAAATTTAAGCTTTCTGGTCTTTTCTCGCCTTCTTTGAGCTGTCAAAGAGCCATGAGGCCAAGTAGACGTTTTCGTGCTAAACTGTTAAACCTCTCCATACTGGGCCTCTCACTGGAGTAACGAGAAGTGTACGGTATAGAACGTTTCATATACCTCATTAAGGGCCATAATATAATATACACGTATTGCATTGTGTCGTATTGTGATTGAATACAGCTCGATATGTATTACTACTTACATCACCCACCAAATGCGATATGAACAACTTGGTTTGATTGTCGAGGAAAAGAAGAGGTCTGGTAATACAGGTAGGCTGGTTTAGATTAGCACAATTGACGGTACAGAGATGTTTATTTATTACAAATGTGATTATCTTAACCCCACTGATTCATCATTGAAATCAATAAAATGACAGTACAGCAGGCTATCGTTTCGATCTTGACTGTGCCATTGGTGCAGTTTCTGTGAAAATTAGTTTATGAAACTCTTATATCGCCGCACGATCGTATGGTTAACGTTTTTCAGTTTCAGACCTCTTCACTTAGTAATTCCTGTTTACTAAAATCTGCCGAGATTTACTGAACTCCAACTACAAATATTGGCGATTTAAGTATTAAGGTTTTTTGAAAGGCATTTTTCTCCGTGTTTCATGCGGTTTGATCACTTTCGGCGGAAAAAATATTTTGAATTTTCGAAATTGTTTTCTAAGTCTCGAAAAAAAATGTAAGTGACAAATTTTCAAAGTTTTTCTAAAAAATACTTTTCTCCGTGTTTCAAGCTATTCCGATCATTTTGAGCCAATAAAAATTTTTTAGAATTTTGCTAATTAGTTAATTGATAATTATCCAATTAACTTATTATCTGACGTAAAAATTGTTTGAAAAAAGTTTTTTTTCCTGATAATATGAACACACTCGATTGATCCGCAACCTTTTACGATGTTCACAACTAAAGATATTCGACAAACAAGAAAGGTGGTAAAAAGTGGTAAAGTGGCAAAAAGTGGCCTTAAGACAAGTGGAAAAGTTTGGAAAAGTTGGTCAGCCATAAAGGGCACCTAATGGGACTCAAAAACGTCAAAAATCCTCTGAAAGCTTCGTGTGTCAGCAGATCGATTTTTTCAGACGGATTTGTCTGTACTAGAATGATGAAAAAGCTATGCAGATTAAAATTACCTAGTAAAAAAGTAAATAAACTGTTTTTTAAAATTTTGTTTTAACTATATTACGAATAAAGGGGGTTGTACCCCTGTCACCCCACACCCCCCTCCTTGTTAGTTAACCCTCAACAGTCAACACCCCCAGGAACGATCACAATATCAACAGTAGGATACGGGGATATAGCCCCAGTAACCACAGCTGGAAAGTTTGTAGGAGCAACTCTAGCTCTCCTGGGACTCCCTCTCATTGCTATTCCCATGCCTCTTATCATGTCTAAGTTCGATAGTTACTACCAGGTCAGAGTGTTTTCGCGTCTAAAAATTGTGGATTCTGAAAAATGCCCGGCAAATTTTAGAATTTGGCCGCCAAATTTTTTTAAAAGGCCTAACTCAAAATTCTGTCCCAAAACTTAAGGTCATGAGACAATTCTACGTTGATTCTGAAAATTTCATGAAAAAATATTGAAACCCTATTGAGTTCTAAATATTGCGAACTGAGATATATATGGGCAATTTTGTTCATTTTTTGCGATTATTTGCACACAGAATCCACAGTTAGAAAGATATTGAGCTGATAATCATTGGGAATGTTTAGTTTAGGCTTACCTTTCATATAAAGTTAGTTTCATTCAAAAATATCGATATTTGACCAATTTATAGACCAAAATCGATCAAATTTGGTGCATATGCCCAAATATGGGCATATAGTTTTTAGCTCATAACTCAGTCATTTTGTTGTCCAATCTTGATGAAATTTCATATACTAGTTCAAGGGATCACTAGCTACAAGTAGAGCACCTAAAATCTGGGTTTTGGGCATGTTCAGGGTATTTGGCTAATTTGGACCAAATATGGGCGTGGCTGCCCCGCGGGCACCGTTTGGCGGTTGGGGTCCGGGACCCCCTCAAAAGTTTGGTCACCGGTCCTAGTTTGTTGGTCAACTGCTATCTCGAAACCAAGTTTCACAAAAAAATCAGGGTGAACCCCCCTTAATGGTCCTTATTAGAAGGATAGGATCTGACCTGAGCTTGAAAATATATGACAGGATCTGGTGTCGCACCATATAGTACGCTACCTGGACTGTAGTGCGACACGAACTCAAGTGCGAATAAGAGAGGGGTTTTGTCGAACTTCAAGGTTCGCACTACAGTACGTTTGCCTGTCACGATGGGTTGTATGATCATGAATGGAAGAGCAATGGATGTCAGGTCTGTAATAACAGTTGTTATGATTACAGAACCCGTCGGGGATTTGTTCTTGACTAAGTTCTTAGCAAAATTCTGGATATTCTGCAGTACATACTTCTGATACCAACCTTAAAAACTTGACACATTGCATGGCAATGCCAATAGGGAAGGTAGACTTTTCTGATCATAACAATGTCAGTTGCACCCATTGCTCCTTCATAAATGTATACTATTAAGTCCAAGACAACTTATGGGGCACCCAGTAGCTGCGCAGTGTTTGTAACTGTTATTTCTGTCCGATGCACCGGCTCCCAGGAGTTACAATCCTCAGAACTCAAACTCGCTGGTCTGCAGGGAAAATGAAAGAGAGATCTCCTTTCTGCGGGATGGCCCTGTGATCAAAGCTTAACGAAACTAAGCACACTGCTGCACAGGTTTAATATGTAGGTAACACTAACTGTGAGGTGCTTGTCCCTAACTTTCCTAATCTCCAGAATGTTAAGCAGAGGAGGAAGACGAACGAGATGAGTGCAAAGCTCATGAAGGAGGCAGAACGTATGAGTGCGGTAAGGCTATACTTCTTGACTTTTGAGAATGTTGCAATTCAAACAAAGAAAAGAAAGATCGTCGACAATCAAGTTTTTCCAGAGGATTGGTTAATTGAACATCATCATGTAGGGCGATCAGCAGAACGACCAGTTGCCAGACCACGCTGCAGACGAATGTGAGGATAGAAAGAATTTGTCGTGGATGGTCAAGGCACGTGACGCGTATGGGAACTGCAGAATACCTGACGACGACGAGGATTCGGTGAGTTCAGAGTTGGCTGGCCAGTTAGCTGTTGTTTATGCAATTTCCTGCAACAATAAAGTAGGTAGAGTTGAGGATTTTGCATTTTGCATGGTTCATTTTCATATTTTTTAAGTGTTTGTTGCATGCAGCATGTGTTGACAGTGAATTTCCCCGCATCAGTCGTCCCAACAAGGCTCGAAGACTCCGCGTCGCCGCCGTTCCGGAGCCTCAAACTTAATCACCAATAGCGACTCTCCTGGCAGGGGCGACGAATTGCCAACATCTGTTTTAGCCCAGTGGCGCTAGGGGCAAATAACGTGTTCCTCTCAGCACCAGCGGGCAGGACCAGGAGCGGGCAGCAAAGGGCTGCTAGATCCCACAGCTCACATTCTTATTTTAACTCATTTTAACTTATTTTCTGCGAGCGTAGGGTCGGACCATTACATTAACTTAATATATAAGGACAAGATAGAGGTTGAATATATTTATTTTGTTATTAAAGTTAAACGTTTGTTTACTGGTTAATAGTAATACCAAGATACTAATGTTGATTCTTACGTTTAAAGGTTTAAGAGGATGACAAACCGGGAAAATGCCCTAAAACAATTGTACATATAAACAGTTTTGATGAATTAAGATGTTCTGATTTGGATAATTTTGACTGATATTCTCAAAAAATATGTTTTTTATCTTAGCAAGGTACTAATTATTCAAATTGATATTAAAATACATTTCTTGTGATTAGTAAAACTAAAAATAATCAACAACTTCAAATACGTGACAATAAAATAAGGTAAAGTATTGAAAATACAGTAAACAAATGTTAATTTTAAACTGTCTCCAATGAAAGTGTCGGAGAAGCTAAATATGGAAAATGGAAATATACCCGGAACCTCTCAAGTCTCTAGTCACTCAATGCCTTGATGAATACACAGCCTCAAAGTGAGCCCCAAAAGCTTGCGCTCAACTCTGCTTCTCTCAGCTGCACGTGTGCTTGAGGAAGGGAGGGGGTTGTGCGTTTAGTGGAAACTAACCACTCAACATTTCACAACAGTGACCAGTGATCAGATAGCTTTAGCACGGGAATTAAGATGTTTGGCATCACTAGCTAGAGACATGATGGTGTGTAGATGTAAGAAGAGGAGGAGGGAGGAGGGAAGGAACTGTTGGAAATATTTCAGGGACAGTGACTGGTAGAACAGCACTGCTACTAACAAACCTGTCAAATAAAACAATCATTAATACCGGGTATTTGTTTAATGTTAAATCTCTAATATTAGTTTGAGATAATTATATTAGTGGTGCCCTTGTAAGAAAGAGAACTAAGTATAAACATACCCTCAAAAAGAGTGAGGATCTTGAGTATTTTGAAGGACTTGTCGAAGAGGACGTATAGGAATGTGTGCGGGTAGTATGAGGGGTGTGCTGTAACGGAGGGGGAGATAGCTAAGTAGGTCTTATCTTCCCATCTCACTATACTCTCCTGTTCCCACTCAACGTTATCTTTCCACCTGTTATGTATCAGAGATTACGATATTGAGGTGTTTGATAAAACTGACCAACAGGACAAACAAGTACGCTTCACTCGCTTGTAAATAGTCATTATCTGGACATGTTTGGGGAGAGATAAATATGATAAGAGATGAACAGAAACCCGTTGTCGGTTGTAAGGAACAACAGTTAAACTGTGAGTAGCCTCTCTACACTTGCCAACTTACTCGGGTAGCGAGTGGATCTGATCTGATAGCACGGCAGATTGCCATCTTCCCAACAGATTAGCTGCTCCCGTTAATTTTATAATAAAGTCTATCGGCAACACCTGAACAGGGGAGATTTTATTTAGACTAGGTTCTAAAAGGCTACGAAGAGATGAAATAAGAATGTTCTAAGAAAATACTGGGCTTAATTAAAATGAAACGTAAACGAAATGTCCACTTTCCATAACACTTGCCTGAATTACAAGTAGAACTGCGATGTGAATGAGCGAAGTTATTCGCTGTGTTTTTAAACAGTTCATCTGTTTTACCACCGTATTACTCTGGGACAAAGTGAATTGTTAATATTCCAAGCAACAGGTTGACTAGCAAACCGAGATAAGTAAACAGCGGGAAAGTGGGAAATTTTGCTTTGACACGAGACAGCGATCAAATAATCTCAGTATCACTGCTACAGCGCCACGAGCTAAACAAACTCGCATCGACCTTTAGTATAAAAACTTTAAATGTAAATGAACAAAAATCGTTTAAACCGACAGCTGTTGTCAAATGTCAATAGCTAACTTTAAAGGCTTTACCTGGTTGAATGTAAAGGGAAGGTAACAAGCCACGTAAGCGTAGCAGAGAATATTGATACCAACAAACTGCATCCTCTTTTTCAGGTTGCTAAGCAACGCTTCACTGTATTTTCGTATCTCCTCGGGCCCTGCTGACTTATTAGGAGAGACTGGTATAACGTTAGGTGGTTTCTCGGTCAACAGTAACGCCAATACTGCCCTGAAATCGAACATTTAATTATTTCTATCACAACGAATTAATATTTTGTTTAGATTTTCTTTACTGTATTGAAATCGATAGTGATCCCTGATCAAAATGTGACCGTTTCATCAATGAACTACGCTCAATTTGGAAATTGCAATGCACAGGAGGCCCACGTAATTATATTGCAAGGATATGATCAAAAATATAGAAATGTTGTATTTTCTGTGTTGACTGCATCTGATTATTCTGAGCCCTGAGGAAAGATGGATTGACTGCCTTTCTAGAGGGTAATAAATTGAGATCGAGTCAGCAATTCTCTCAGAAAAGGATGTAAGTTCAATGCGGTAGGGAAAATAGTTCAGTTATTCTGGAGAAAATTGGTTTTTGTAGATCAGTGTTGGCGAATTTGTACTTTTACGCAGATAATTAGGACATAGAAGAATAATTTCTTTAAGCTCACGCATAGATGTCAAAATAAACCACGTTTATGCGAATGAAATCGCAAAAAAACGACAAACACGTTTGTCCCATTTTCTTAAAATGACATAGATTTGAATTACTGCCTTTTCTCGGAGAACGGCAGCGAATATGTATTGAATAAAATCGAATGGACACGCGTCGCGTTCACGTACGTACGTATATACGTACGCGACGTACGTACGTACGTGATAATTCGCTCACGAGCGCTTAAAAATCTACAAACACATGAGCGCGCCTTACATACTCCGTTATTAGTAGACCGTTTTAGCACATCTCTCAGGGGTTGTTTTCTCGATACAGGCTCAGAAAGCAGACAAATGAACTCACAAAGGTATGAGAGAAAGTCCACTAGGGGTGAGAACTAGAGTAGATATAGATGGAAGAATGTAAAGGGACACGCTCCAGAATATTCCGTGAACAGTCATCTTTAGAGTCTCTCTCAGAAAACCACGTATTTGGGTCCCCTGAAAATTGAGTAATCTTAAAAGTTAGATCTAGAAAATATCAGGGTAATTCAACACCGCAAACAGATGACTTTTTGAGTGTTACCCTGGACATAAACTCATTGATAACACAGAGTTGCTAGAATTGTTTATCGGCGATGCGGAACGTTTATCAGCGATGCGGAACGTTGAAATAATATTTATCCGGAATAACCGGATGTCCTTTTGAATACTGATTACCTGTTTAATTGCTGATAAAAGAGGTCTGTAAGTCAGAACTAGAACTGCAAATAAAGCTGCTTCTTTATGAATACTGTGAAGGTGCTGAAATAAATAAAATAACTAAGGGCTGTGGATATTAGCTGTATCTTACATTCAAATAGTTAATTTATTGTGAAAATGTTTGTTTGGACAAAATTAGCTAAAGATTACTAAAAACCAGAAGATTATTGAAGTAATTGGATATTTGAAATAATTAACTATCAACACACCCCGTTGTGTAGAGTGACATTGTGTAGAGTGATAAAACACAGCACATAACCCATTAAGTGCATATCTTTAGCAACATTCTGGCTCAAAACTAATCTGAAATATTTATGTGTAATAATTACCTTGTTATGATTCTAGGAACCTCAGATATTTCTACTGGTGGGGATGTTATCTTGTTTTTAACTAAAACAAATTATAAATAAGAGAATATTTTACTTTTTAGAGGGCACACTTGTTTGTTTGGGGAAGGAAGAGGGTTTAAACTTCTTGGTCATTATCAACAGTACTGATATTTCCCCAGAGAGTAGGATTGCTTTTCAGTGCCACATCTTTACATAGACCTACTTAGTTGAGATATAATTAGTTACAAGTCTTGAAGTCTCCGTATGGAAAGAATGCAATTTTTGTAATTTTGGTGAAATGTGATTATATAATTTATCTGGTAAGACTTCCGTAAGACTTGAGAATAAGTGTGAAGATGAGGTATGGACTATGGTTGTTATGTGTGGTATGTGCGTTGTTAGTGTGTAATGTTTTAGAGCACTTGCTAACTGTGTCAGCCAATTTACTATATTGAGGTGATACAAACCTCATATTTTCTCCCGTTGGAGTGTGTTTTATGGAAGCGTTCATTTAACGTTTATTACAATGGGTAACTCTTCGAGGTTTAATAAAACGATAAAGATTGGCGTTAAACGTTTAACCAAAATTTAATATAATTATTCGCAAGTTTCAAATTTCAATACTGCCGGAGTTAAAAATACTGATTACTGTGTTACATACATACCTTAACTTATAAAAATCATCTTATTACACAAATTTAATCGGCAATCTGTTCAAATTAAATAATCATAGGCATCATTTAGATTACCTATTCCAAATATTAAAAGTTTTTACAAATTATCTTATTAACTTAATCATTATTGTAAAAAAATCAAAATTTAACCCCATTTATTTCGCATTTTAAAAGATAAATAATTCAAGTTTAATTCGATATTTCAAATATCGAATGTAAAAATCAACTCTGTAGCCTGTCTATCGAATATGATCCTTAACCGAAGTAATTACGCATAGCCAATCATGTTTACCATACTTAATAACGTTTTGTACAGGCTTAAAAGCCCTCATTACTACGAAGATATTTTCGTAGAAATTCAGCTTCCTGTCAACTAGTTGTCATTTGTAGAAGTTCTTTGAGTTGAAGTCGTTAGAGAAGAGGTCCTCCCATACTTCACGCAGAGTGACAAACTGATATTATAGGTTATGAGTAACTTAGTTATATATTTTTACAAATTTTAAATGTATCTATTTCCATAAAACGGTAATGTATAAATAGCGTGAATGTTCAGAATGTTAATAAATTTAACATCTTGAGCATATTTACATAAATATGTAAACAAATCATAATCCCATGACCCCTAATATTCAATTTCTGCATATTATATTACTTACATCGATTATATTACATCGAGGGAAATTTAAACAAATTTAAAATCACTGTATAAGTAAAGATGTTAACCTGAGGTTTAGCTTTGTTGAGGAATATTTTAACACCGTTTAAACAGCCGGTCACACGGTTTGTGTCGAACAACTCCTCGACTAGGTACACCAGCACGAAGTTCAGGGCCATCAGCAAAATGAACGTTATCTGAAATGAACGTTATCTGAAATGAACGTTATCTGAAATGAACGTCATCTAAGATGAATATTTCCAGAGATTAACGCTATAATCGTTTATGTATCTAAAATAAAAGTTATGTGAAATTACCGTTATCTGAAAATGAAAGTTATCTGAAATGAATTGAAAAGAGGAGAGTTAATTTTAGCCCTGGTTACAGTAATACATAATTTTCGTTGATTCTGCGATTCTAAGATAACATGTTTTGATAACCGTGATCTACTGATTACTGGAATTAAAGAAATTTACCGATAAGATTTATTTCTGATTTTACACTTAGTACCAAGCACGTGTGAGCTGGAAATGTTTATGTACGTGGTGATGCAGCTCCACCACCAGTACCCTCCGGTAGCCGGTAGGGATGATAATTTTTAGTTACGTAGTGGACACTGTAATGTAAGAGCAGCTGGGGTGCAAGATTTATAATATAATTACGAGGTTGCAGTGAAATAAGCCGCCTTATCTTCCAGTGGATCTAGGAAAGAATAGCCTGGCACCATTTATCGTAGTTATCACAAATTATAATAATATATCCCTTGCAAAGTAGAGGCAATCATGTTCCGGGAAAAGCTTTGTGTGGAGAAAAGGTTTGTGTGGATACAACATAAACTTTCGAACATACAGGAATTGTAGATATTTGGACGATTTTGTCCACGCAGGAGGCCTAGAAGCAATTTGGCAATAGAGACCATTTTCAAATCATACAAAATGACAGTATTGAATATATATTGGTATATTACTGATAAGTGATAACATACCAACTTATAAGGTATTATACTACGTCATAACATTCTAAAAATGTGACTGATAAATGTGAAGCATGCCGACTCTGATAAGAGTAATACAATATTCTCAACTAGTCTGAGTTCACACTTCACACTTCACACTCCACACTTCAATTTCACACCTCACACTTCACACTCCACACTTCACACTTCACACTTCACACTTTACACTTCACACTTCAATTTCACATCTCACACTTCACACTCCACACTTCACACTTCACACTTCACACTTCACACTTCACACTTCACACTCCACACTTCACACTTCACACCTCACACCTCACACCTCACACCTCACACTCCACACTTCACACTTCACATCTCACACTTCACACTTCACACTTCACACTTCACACTTCACACTTCACACTTCACACTTCACACTTCACACCTCACACTTCACACTTCACACTTCACACTTCACACTCCACACTTCACACCTCACACCTCACACTTCACACTCCACACTTCACACTTCACACTTCACACTCCACACTTCACACTTCACACTTCACACTTCACACTTCACACTCCACACTTCACACTTCACACTCCACACTTCACACTTCACACTTCACACTTCACACTTCACACTTCACACTTTACACTTCAATTTCACATCTCACACTTCACACTCCACATTTCACACTTCACACTTTACACTTCACACTTCACACTTCACAGTTCACACTTCACACCTCACACTTCACATCTCACACTTCACACTTCACACTTCACACTTCACACTTCACACTTCACACTTCACACTTCACACTTTACACTTCAATTTCACATCTCACACTTCACACTCCACATTTCACACTTCACACTTTACACTTCACACTTCACACTCCACACTTCACACTTCACACTTCACACTTCACACCTCACACTTCACATCTCACACTTCACACTCCACACTTCACAATCCAATAACGACTCAACTTCAAAGCAGCCGTTAAGTAACCTTCATAAACATAACACACATTCAGTTCATTCTCAATTTTCAAATATCAGTTCAAACATGAACAATTACATACACGAAAGCACGAATACCCTTTATCTAATCTTAGATTATTCACCAAGTTATTGAGTATTGAGATATATATTTTATAATTACTATTATATTATTATAATTATTATTATATAATTATTATTATATTAGCTAACCTGGACGTCCAGTTGCTGTAGTGAGACCAAGTTCATCATTTTAGTGAGGAATGGAAGAGGTTGAAATACAAACAGTACTGTCATTACGGTACAGAGGAAGAACACGAGCATCAGAGTCCAGTTACGATAGGCCGGCCTGAGGATGATGAGAGTTAGTATCTAGTAAACTGATAAGAGTCTATTATATTATATATTATCGTCTATTAAAGTACACTATTTTCTTTGCTACATCTTTTTCTCAGTTAACAAAGTATCTAGATTAATTTATTTAACTGGATATGAGTACCTCGAGGGGGATTATTTAAAACATAAAAGTGATACGAAAAGTTTGTTTATCAAAACTTTTCGTTCAGCTAGAATAACTTTGCTTTGATTCGTGTGCTTATTGATCATCATAGAAACACTGGTTATTGTGCAACGTTGTATAATGTGTAGTGTATAGTGTGTAGTGTGTAGTTATTATAGGTACATAAAACAAAGCAACAGAAAGTAAATGGCATGTTGTGTGTATGTTGTGTGTATGTTGTGTGTATGTTGTGTGTATGTTGTGTGTATGTTGTGTGTATGTTGTTTGTATGTTGTGTGTATGCTATGTGTACAATTGCACTCACCTCCTAAAAGGATGCCCTTGACACAACACAACTCCATAAATAGCATATTGACTCTGAGAAATAATAAAAACCGCCGTGTTTTCTAGACATTTCCGGGGGTAATTTCCAGAGTCTGCATTCGGATCGTAGAAAGGATACGTCTGAAGCAGCATGAAGACAAAAAACTGAAAACAAGCCTTGTTTGAAAAGGTACTTACTTTCTATGTGGTGCCCCAACTGATAGAATAACTCCGTATAAAGCGTACTGAAATGCAGAGCAAACAAAAAGAGCTGTGTTCTCAAAACATGCTCCCTCTTTAAGATCGTGAGCAGGAACATATGGAACAAAGAACGGTTGTGATTGTATATACACAAATACAGTATACTGAAATAGAGGTTATTAAATGATAACATAGAGGTGATAGAGCATCCACCGATACAGCAAGCTGAAATTGAGGTTTTTTATGAGACCAACTTTACCGATAGCATAGGTAACCCACAAATTATTGATCATAACATAATTAAACAAACATTAATAGCCCGCAAATTTAATAATGTTAGTTTTTTCATCTGCCCATCTGAAACAATTACCTGAAATCCAAATGTTATTATCACGTGAAGAGTCAGCAGGACGAACACTTTGAAATCGATCAGTTGAGCTTTTGGTGTGGAAGGAGCTAGGTTCGGAGCGGGCTGAGAATGTCCCAAAGTCACAGCAATCCCCGAAATAACGAACATGTCAATGTAGAGAAACTGGGAATCCGTCATGTTAGTTCCAATACTGTAATGAAGCAGCTGGGTAATAAACTGAATCATGCTGTACATAGCCATGAAGCGGAACGTCACAGACGCGGTCACAAGAGCGGCTCTTCCTTGTCTCAGTATTTCTATCATGCAGGAGATGGAAGGGTTAGCTGAGGTGAAGGGAGCAGCAATCGAGGCTTCAGCTTCAGAGAGGGAAACTCCAGCATGGGCGGATTTCAGAGCACCACAATCGTTAGCTCCATCACCACACATTGATACTGTGTAGCCAATCTTTTGCAGATCTTCCACTAACTTCTGTTTCTTTCCTGGCTTCATACGAGCGAACACTTTTCCTTTGAGAAGAAGTAACTCATACAATAGTGGGTGAAACTCAGCGACATGATTAAAAGCTGTTTCTGCAATCGCAAACACAAACGGTCTGCTGGTGAGACCAATTATAGTGTTGACAATTTCCATCTGAGAATACTTTGTGGGTAAGATAACTGAGGTTTGTTCCTGAGAGTCGAGCTGGAAAGCAACAGATTGTCCCTCCTTCTTAACAACAATGACGTCATGCAGCCCACCATTTATTGGCACAATCCCACACTTCTTGCTGACAGATATGGCAGTAAAGATGTTGTCTCCAGTCACCATGCAAACTTTAGTGTTTGAGTACATCAGCTCGGAGATACAACCTGTGGTGTCCCCTTTGAGATGATTTTCCATAATCAGAAGTCCTGTGAAGTTCAGATCACATTCAAGTTCAGATCGTCTCATGGTTTGGATGCTATGCCAACTTGTTTCAGAGTCCAAAACTTTCCAACCAAATGCTATGACTCTGTAACCTTCATTGGTATACGAATCTAATTCGGAATGGAAGTTGCCAGGAATTGTACTCTCCAGTGAAAGTGAGTGGATCATCTCTGGTGACCCTTTGCAAAACAATATCATTTCGTCAGTTTGAAGGTTCTTAGTAACCACACACATTCTTTGTAGCTCGGATGTAAATGGAAATGAGCGAATGATTCCAATTTCTTTAGGGTCAGCATCATCTTCTCCATCTCGCTCTGGAGAACTAACAATCGCACTGACAAATGATGCAAGTGGATTTAGTTCGTCACACTCTTCAAAAGTCCAGCCAGTAAATTCGAACATCTCTATGTCTAAGGGATCACCAATATATTCACCATTTATAATGCTTATTTCATGGCAGGTTGCCAAGGCATGAAGAAACATCTCTTGCTTTATCAAATGACCTTCACTGGTGGCACCTAGGAAAATAGAAGAAGAAGGAATAGCACACAAGACACTCAAACCATCTTCAGTAAGTGTACCAGTTTTGTCAAAGCAAATGTATTGGATTTTCCCACAAAAGTTGACACGCTGGGGGTCAATGCAGAATATCTTAGACTTCTTGAGTCTTTGTACCGCATAAACTACACCAATAGTCAGAGCTGCTGGCAAGGCTGGAGGAACCACTACAGTCACTAAGTCCAAACCTAACCTCACTGTTTTGGAAATTGTTGCTCCTAACTTGAGGGAGATGTAAACAGTGTATGTGAACCCTAGAACTGCAAAGAAGGATAGCATCATTATGAAACGTTGGGCATCGGCTTGAAACTCGAATTGAGTTGGCTTGGGACACAATATGGAGCGTATAAGAGAACCTTTGAAAGTGCTAAAACCTGTTCTCATCACGATGGCAACTGCGTTGGTTCCAGATGTAGGTTTACTTTGAAGAACAGTAGTACCAGCAAGCAATGAATACTTTTTGTCCCTTTCAGGATTATAAATCAGGTCTTCAGAGACAGTGACCTTCTCTACATCACCAGATTCATAGATGAACTTAGATATGTATGGAACAGGAGCCTTAGAAACAGGAATGCTTTCTCCAGTCAAAGCACACTCGTTGACAATTGCAGATCCAGAAACAAGAACTGCATCACAGCTGAGAAGGAAACCATCTCTTGGAATGAGAATAACATCACCTGGCACTAAATCAGAAGATTGTAATACAGCATTTTCACCATTTCTGAGAACTTCCACTTCAACTGATGAGGCTGCCATTTTGTTTATCTTATTTTTTTGTTTTCGCTGCTCATAAATTGTGATAGCAATTGATCCCAAAGTTATTATCAGTATAGCAGTAGCATATTGTTCATAATCATCCCACATCCAAAGGACGACAGCAAAGGCTTGAAAAATATAAAATGGCTGCAGTGCCTCTTTGAAGAAAAGAACAATGTATGAAGGAACAGGTACATCAATGACATTAGGTCCATATCTCATTAATTTGTAGTCCAGCACAGAATCTGAAACACCACCGCTCATAGCATGGATGTCTGAATAATGTAAATTCTCTAGCCCGTTTACCAAAGAAATTTCGCCACATTCAAAGATGTATTTTGAGTGCTGGTATTTAAAATATCTAATCCCATCAGAATCTTTTACATTGGCGACCCCGTGAATTTCAGTATCACAAGAAATGATATGAATGTAGGTTGCAGTTCCAAACTTTGATTTCTTTTTCGTGAGGATAACATTGACTTTAGGGTACCAATGCATGACAAGAAGTAAGAATCCACCACTACAGATTGTCAAAATGATAGTAAGTAAAAGCTTTGGAATAGAAGTGCGTAGCCCAGTGACTTTGTATTTAGATGAAGAGTCATCTGAAATTGTTTGTGATTGAACATGATCCATGAGAGGTCTGTCCTCAGATTCTTCAACTGTGATCATAAAGTTACTTCATCGGCTTCATTTTGATGATCATAAGACCTTGTGACAAAATTATGTTAGATAATTCAGCTATGGGCTGACTAATAATTGTATATGTAACATGTAATAAAGTCAAACCCCTTCATACCAGGCCTCTCGGGGGAAACAAAAGTACATGGTATAAAAGACAGGTATAGAGATGTTTACCTGTTCTCAATCCCAAGTATCTGTAGCCTCTCAAAGAACCTATCAAGCATCTCATATATCCCATTAGGGCCTTGTATGCAAGTTTTGTGTTGTATTGTGATGCAATACAGCTCGATATATATTCGAATCACCAACCAAATGCAATATTACATAAGCTATGATAGGTCACATTTCTTGCACAAACAAGCTAATTAACTTAAAGTTTGAGGGGGAATTGTAGAGGCCCAGTATATCGAGAAAAGACAATTCTTTTTGAGAAAAGACAATTTAATTATTTATCACCAATTTGTTATCAAGGTATAGTACCCGGTATAGGCAAGACTTTACCGTCAATCATTTAAAAGAAGTTGTTCATTTTGCAATTTACTATACTCATAGGTAAGAAAACATACATTTTCAGTTGACAATATCACTAGGCATTCAAACTGAAAAATGTGTAAGCTTTGCAGTCACAAATTGAATTCAAACAATATACACATAATGTCACTATGACTCTATATAAAATGATCCCGTCAAAGATATAGTACATACAATTTTTCAAATATTCTAAAAATTGACTACACTAATCAACTAAGTTGCTGACATAGCATACTGTTTAAAGACACCTAACACCATTATTAATCTAGCAGCTGGTAAGAATTCCTTGGGAACAACTTGCACCCCAAGGTTTGACCTCGAACGAACAAAGCCTTTATTTTATCTGGAACACGTCTATAACTAGGTGTTTTTATCAGTCCGTTTTCAGGAAAGAAGAAAAGGTACAATTGCCTGTAGCATGATGAATTAATAACACATTTATAGGAAAGAAAAATTTTTTTTAGGAAAGAAAAATTTTTATTTACCACAAATAATCAATACATAATGTTATATTCATAAATAAATTCAAATTTCAATTTCAAACACATATACAGTACGCCGCGCACACAGCCACAATTTAAAATTGTTCAGAAATTCGTAGGTCAGCTGTAGGCGCCGCGCACAGGATCTATTTAATTGTTAACTTACAATTACATGTCACATTTCTTAATTACTAGAGCCAAAATTTCAGAAGCAAAATAATTTAAAAGATATTTCTGTCGTTCACGCAGTACAGGCCGTGAGCACTGCCATCTAATTAATATAATAATGGAGAGATTCCAAAAAACCGCGCGCTCGTTATTTATTGTGATTAAATTGAGTGCGCGCCACTGTGAACAGCAGTACCGCTCAAGCATGAATTAGTACTGAGCGGTACGCAGTTCTGCGTGAGGCGTAGACATTTGTAGCACACGTTTCATTCAACTAATCCATTAATCCATGTGACATGTACAATGTAATTATATTAAAGCAAAAAGAATATTAATTTTAGTAATAATTGACGTAAACATATGTGTTTAAATAACATCTATTATCTAGCGAGTTACTAATACCGTTCGCGTTTGTTTGTATTCTTGATTATATATCTTTACACTAGCCTATATTATGATGGAGATATACATTATATAATTGCTCCAATATTCAACACTGTTAAACAACAAATACCTACTCGCCCATCGATGAAGCAGTCGCCAAAACAAAGCTCAAAGTTAATATATCTTCGTACTTCGTTTTGGAAACTGTAGAATTCCAATAAATAATTAGTGTTTCAATCGTGTATTCGATGGGCAAGCACTCGCCACTTGAGGCCGAGACAAACGGCACCAGCTCCGCCCCGCAACCGTGAAGTAAGGCGGGGCGGTGGTGTGCGCCGTTTATACGGCCCACAGCACGAGACATTTTGAGCTCCAAGACTTAAGACTATAAAAGTCCCGAATTAAACGTAGCGACTTACCATCGTCAGCCGTCAAAAATTTAGAATTTGTATGTTATAAACTCTACACCTGCTATCAGTCTAACATGTAATTTAGTTTGTTATTGGCTAAATTTTCAACTCGATTAAGCGATGCAGACGGATGAACTAGGCTTCTCCTCCGTCAAAAACACAATGAGAGGGGATTGTGGAAGGACACGAACACTATTCGTTAACTCGTACCCCGGGTACCCCCTAGAACTGTGTCCCATCAGAGAGAGCCCATCACCCGTCAGATCGAAAACAGTGTTTTAGTTTTGATATATGCTGTACCAATTACAATAAATGGTAAGTCAAGGCTGACGTTGGTAGCAAAGTATAAAGTGACACGTCACAACAAAATAACCACTACACACTACACACACTATACGCTATAACTATTGTACACAGTACACAGTATAACTAAAATATAAAATATAAACAAGTTACAAGAGACAAAAGAGTTTACAGAAGAGTTTTACATCGGCTCAGCACCGCCAGGACATTGGCTATACACGTGGGTCAATTAGTTTGATTTGGTATGGCTCGACCGGGAAAGTGGTCGAAATTAGTGCTCTTAATGAGTCATCACTGTCGTCTGAATATTAGAGCGGGAACTTCCCAAGTTTCGGCCGACAACGCGCACAGCATGGGCGCGCAATGCTATGCGCGGTCTCATATTACTGTGTCATTCGGCGGTTGCGCTCAGCGTTACTGGGAATGAGTTGTATGTTGTTTACCTAAATTCAAGCATGGTATTCATAGATAAGCTTGTCAGTCAGTAAGTGCTTAAGTGGGAATAACAGGCAAATGGATATCACTTCATAATCAGAATTCAGTGAAATTTCTGTCACACCACTCAGTTCCATACCGGTTTTGAGCTCTTAGAAGTGACTGTTTAAGTAAATTCTTGACAGATCCGCATGTGGAGGTGAAATTTAACGGGCCAACTTTACGGAATTCGTTCCACAGCCATGCAGATTTATAAATAAATTGATTAGTTGGAGAGGGTGTAATGAACAGATTATCTTTCCTATTTGATATGTTGAATAAGTAGTATAACGAAATTGGTACTCGTGACTTAATGATCTTAAAAAGTTCCATTAAACAACGGTATCTGTACAGGTTCTCTGTAACAAGTAATTCATGTTTTGTGAATAGAGGCTTAGTGGACTCTTTAACATAGAATTCAGATCCTAGACGTTGAGAATTAATTGGTCTTGCTCTAGCACATGTCTTGAATTTGTCTACATAAGCTTCATAGTCTCCAAATAGAATCCTGATACACTTCTTTTGAGTAATAAATAGTGGTTTTAACTGATTATTGGGAATACCTCCCCAGACAGAAATAGCATAACCTAGGTGTGATTCAAAGAGAGAATGATATATTTGTTTATATAGTGATTCTGGTAAGCATTTCTTAATACGGTAGATACGTCCACAAGCACTTCTTAGTTTCTTGTTGAGGGATGATATATGTGGTTTCCAGCTCAATTTATCATCCATGATTACTCCGAGAAACTTTGTCTGACTTACACGTTTAATTATTTTGTTATTAATGGACAAGTTTTGGCTATCTATATCGGCATCTAATTCGTTATTATTACGTTTAGAGGGAGAAAAATACATGTAACAACACTTCTTTACATTAATGTGCAGTAGGTTAACTCCCATATACTTGTTTACGGCCTGTAGTACTTCATTAGCCAATTCATATGCTTTATTTCTCGAATCGGCAGCGACAAATATATTAGTATCGTCTGCAAATAAGACAAATTTACCCTTTTTAGTTATATTGCATATGTCATTGATGTACAGTAGAAAAAGTAGAGGTCCTAATACACTACCCTGAGGGACCCCGAATTCAACCGGTAATTTATCAGATTTGGTATCCAAAACGTTTACAAATTGTTTCCTATTAGACAAATAACTAGAGATAAGATTCAGAGCATTTCCTCTTATGCCATAGTTGTTTAATTTTGTAGTTAGTTTACAGTGGTCTAGAGTGTCAAAGGCTTTTGAGAGATCGATAAAGACCCCTAGGACATGTTGCTTTTTACTAATTAACGATTCTATATGTTCTACAGAGTAGTTCAGTGCATGGCTGGTGGAGTGTCCTTTTCTAAAGCCGAACTGGTTTTCATGTATTATACCCTTGGAAGTAAGGAAACTATAGAGCCGCTTATATATTAACTTTTCTAGAATTTTCCCGAATACAGGTAGAGTTGATACTGGTCTATAGTTTTCTAAAAGCTGTTCATCTTCTTTTTTGTAAATAGGGCTGATTCTCCCAGTTTTTAATTCATCGGGAAAGTGGCCTTCTTGCATGCATTTATTAAAGTATCTAGCTAAGTACGGTGCAGTAATTTGACACGACTTCTTGATCACATGAATAGGTATGTCACTAGATTTCCCGTTTTTTAGTTCGTTTATGATCTCTTTAATCTCAATACAGTCACAATCACAAAGAAAAATACTGGACGTAACTGATGTGGGCAGGTAATCAGTAAATGACGGCAGGGAATTTATTCTTAAGAAGTCACCAGAGTATGCTTCGTTCAAGTTAGCTGCAATAGAGGCAAAGTATTTATTGAACTCATTTGCAATTACACGCCGATTAATCACACGCTCGTTATTTATCACAAAGTTAGGTTTAATCTCACGTCTCTTCTTACCACGCAGTTCATTAATTATCTGCCAAGTTTTCTTACTATCTCCAGCGCATTCTGTAATCTTAACACCATGATACTTACGTTTTGCAGAATTAATAAGGTGGTTTAATAACTTCCGGTGTGCCTTAAATTCTTCATGACGTGTTACTTTATTTGTACAATTAAAACAAAGGGTAAGACAGTCTGCATGGTTGGTTGAAGAGGCGTTGAGGCATTTCTTCTTAACTGCCTTTTTCCACAGGTCATAAAGCTCATGTTTTCTATTTATAGAGGTAATCAGGCCAGATGTAATCCATGGATTATTCTTAGCAGTACGTTTAGAACACTTAGGCTGGCTTAGTTTACATGCACTGTCTAGTTGATGATTAAATACAGTGAAAAAATTACTGAAGTCTTCTGGTGGATCACTAGTTAATTCATTGTCTAGTACTTCCACAAATTTGTCCACATTTTTTGCACAGTAGTCATAGTACTGGAAATAGTTTTGTTCATGAACCTCAGTACTGACTAGGGGTGAGTTGAATATATGGAATACAGCATGATGGTGACTGATGCAGGTACTAATTGTTCCAGAGCAGATAGAGTTTTCTATGTTGTTGGTGAGTATGTTGTCAATACACGATTCGTTACATCCTGGTTTATGATGCGTGGAAGTAGAAATAAGTGGTGATAAACCTAGACCTAGAATAAGGTTTTCAAAGTCTTGAACAAGTTTACTGTTTTCATCATGGAGATTAATGTTAAAGTCACCTAGTATGTAAGCATTCTTTTTTGGGCATGATTCAATAATTTTTCTAAGTTCATTTAGTGCCTCTGAGGAGTCCCCACTAGGAGGACGGTACAGTACTCCTACATGTACAGGTTCATCATGTTGAATAGTAATAAATAGGGTTTCAAGATTTTTGGTTACCCATGATAATTCTTCGTTTACAACTCCATTAAGTTCGTCCTTTAAGTACAATGCTACTCCACTTCCCTTCGCTTTATTGATATGTTTATCCTGGTAGAAACAATTGTACCCCTCAAGATGGTAAACAGTGCTTTCCTCTATTCCAATATTGGTTTCAGCAAGTCCAATAATTTTAAATTTTTCGGCTAATCGGTTTAGTTCCATGCTAAAGGCATCAAAATTTGTTTTATTGCCATCTATGTTCTGGAAAATCATGGAGCAGTTGCTTGCAAAACAAGGTTTGATATGTGTGTTAAAGTCCTTAATTGTATAGGATCTACAGTTTTCCAAAGCATCGGACATCTTTT